AGTTTACCCTCGCCAAACGTTGAGTGGCTCCTAAACGTCTAACTTTAAATGACCCGACTCGAGTTGATGGTAGCTCTCTGGGGTTCCCAGCTTGCCGAAGTCACGAAAGCCCTCGATGTCAACTTACATTGCACTATCATGTGGAGTGAGTCAACCACGGTCCTCACCTGGATCTTGTCTGAATCATGTACATTCAGAATATTCGTGGGTACTCGAATCTCCGAAATTCAGACTCTAACTGAAAGCAATATAACATGCGATATGTGTGGAGTTCTGACAATCCAGCTGACGACATCACGCGTGGTCTGGCAGTGTCACAGTGTAGAAAGGGTTCTCGGTGGATTGAAAGGGACCCCATGGCTCTTGGAACCACAACATGAATAGCAAAGTAAAATTGCCTCCGTCTTGGCTCAGAACCGAGCAACCTCCTCAACTGATACCAGTGAAATAAAGAAGTGGGCTGACAGGCCTGTGCAGCGTTCTTGATCTGAATGCGTATGCGAGTTGAACAGACCTAGTGGAAGCTCTAGGTCGCCAGCTGTTTCCAGATAACCAGCAAGTGGCAGGTGCCCTTACTCCTCAACATATCTGTGAAGCAGGGCTCCAACTCCCCCAGACGAGCTCAGATGGAGAGCTTCCATACCGAGAATGCTGCACCTGAAGCAGGACAGAAGATCCCCAGAGACAGCCGTCTACCAGAACTTGCACCAGAGCTGGATTAGGCCATAAAAGTGATTCGAGTCAGAGGTCGCTTGAGGAAACTAGCCCAAGATAACTCCGTAGATCTCGAGCCACATCCTATCCTCCTCGATCAATGCTATCAAGTTTGAAGCTTCTCATAAGAGATGCTGACCATAACTCCAGTCACCTGTTACACCGGACAGATATTTGTTCACCCGAGACGATGATCCTGGATCCTTCGTGGCTGTAGTGCCGTCAAGGGTGTACTCTGCCCCTGTGCAGAGTGTCGTTGCTGGCTCACGTAGTTGCAAGTCCCATGAATGGCAGACCGCATGCCAAAGTCCCGTTTGCAACTTGTCCAACATCCCCTTGTTTGAACCCCCTTTCTCCACTGCGACCCTCGCAGATCACCCCCTTGCGAGCTTGCTGCTGACCACCTCGCAGATTGCCCCTCAGTCCGCTGGTTAACCTCACGACATGACTCGAAATAGCGGCAGTACGTACCTTCCAGAGCACTTTCCCACTGTATTGATGAGGAGTTATGTCTGGCCGGCGACTAGGTCGCCCCAAACTTGCTTCTGACCCACATCCGTCACCACAGACACGTGATTCTCCTTTGAGAGGACATGGACCCACTGACGAGCGCTGTCCACTTTCTTTGCTGAACTGATGCCCTTCGCGCGTCGACTGGTCTTACAACTATTAGTCACTAGATGTGACTAATTGTAAACTCTGTGCTAATAACACATACACCTGTAACAATTGACACTTGACAAATGTATTGTCGGTAACCTCAAGCACCACAATGTCAATAATGCGCATCATCAGCATTGTACAACATCATCAGCAATTTACAGCAGCATAAGCAATGTACAACATCAAACATAAGCATCAAACATGCAAGCCAAATAATTATGACAGCCTTATACTTGCAACAAATCAGCTATGCATGCCAGCATACCTCGGTACAGCTCATACAACTGTGTACAGACCGCGCTTAAGCACTGCACAAACGCAGAGCACAAGTAATCAACCTACTTCTTGTCTCCTCGCTGTCCGCAGCTCAACTCAAGTATAACTACAACGTTCACCGCATCACGTGTCTGCCTAACACGCATGCTCCTAAGTCACCCAATGCCATGCACGCTAAGCTCCGCCCAGTCACGAACATAATTCTTGCACGCTCATAGTGCATGCAATGGAAACACATTAAGAAATAAATTGACCCTATATCCTTACACTTTCTGCCACAGTACTCTTCCTATAGACCACGCACTAAGCTCCCCATCTCGTGGATATCAGCGTCGATCAAACAGCCCCTTTCCCCGCTCTCATCGTTATTCCTATTATAACCATCACGACTCTCACGCTTGGTAGGACGGGAACGGGTCGGGAGTCGTGATTTCCGTAGCCTTGACCAAGGCGTTGGGCTTATCGATTCGCCGATAAAAAAAAAATCGCCGATAAGAAAATCCCTAATCAACTTGGCAAGGCATAATTGCGTGCACATATCGATGCCCGTACGCTGCTTGCGAGAAAGTAACTTGTACCATACAGCAAGGCTATGCTTGTACATGTACATGTACAGTACGTACGCACGTACATCACACACGAACTCGTACAACAGCCATGTACATGTACATGCATGAGCTTGTCCGCGTAACCCAACGCCTTGATGGTTTTGAGTTGACCCAGCAAAACCTATTGAGGTAATGAGGTACCACCCCCGCGTATATACTGAATTCTCATTGGTCAGCCCGCGATAGGCTAACTAAGGCTGCATCCGAATCCGTTGTCTAGAGCTAGGTCTAGGTCTGCGCTCATTGAAAATACGCGGGGACGCGCTGACAATAGACGTAGCCGTAGCTCTGGAAGCCCGTTTCGGACACGGCCAAACACGTCGCATCCGCGAAGAAACGCTGCAATGGCGGCCCGTTGCTGTGGGTGAAAGTCGTTCAGTCCCAGTCTGTCCGAAGCAGTATTGAAGGCTCCAACGAATTCTGCAGGTAATGCTGTCATTAGACGATCGTTGCCCACTCAAATGGATTCATTACACGAGCCGAAAAACTCGAATCAATGTCAAATTGTTGAAAAAGTGACGAACATTTCGCTCTCGCTAAAAAGACATGGAAGACGCCATGATGACTAATGCATTATGCATGCCGCGCAACGTCACATGATTCTTGTGAAGCTTACGATTGGTCAGCTTAAAAATGAATTAATCATACTATTGGGAAGGTTGTTTCATGTGATTGGTCCAAGACGACCTACATAATCATCACGGCATACCCGCATACCTGAAGCCCGCCCATTTTTTTCCAAAACTGGACGAAAAAGTAAAGAAAGACATTAAACCCGGAAGTTGCAGACCCAACAAGGCGGTCGTTCGACAGGCCACGCGGCGCGTATATCCCCCACACGTACACTGTACGTACGTACGTACACCCACACGCAGAACATAGTAGGCCTACGTTTACTGCCTTATTACACCATGCGTACAGTCCGTACTCACGTGTGTGTGCTTGCTGGTTGTGTTAGTACCGAACCGTTCGTACGGACAAGGGTCGGTGGTACACGCACGGACAAGGGTCGGTGGTACACGCACGTAACCGCGTTGATTGTGGGTGCTAGGGCCCGATTATCTCCCTTCGACAAAAAGCCGAGAGACCGCATTGAACAAGGCTATGATTTCCGTGATTACCGTGATCATCTTCCTCGTTCTGACAGTCGTGATCGCCGTGATTATCTTGATTAGCCTCGACCGCTATGACCGTTCACATAATTGTGAATGTGATCACTCCTCTCCATCATCCAATCCATCAAGTGGTCGTTCCCCAAGCACCGATCTAATAAGCGTGACAGTAATCGTCACTCACCTACCCCAAATGCCCGACGATTAACATTCACACCTGACTCCCGAAACCTTCATCCCAAAAGCAGGAAAAATTGAACTAGTTTGAATGCCCTTCTCTAACTAACACCTCTTCGAACAGTGGCCCGACCCTCTGAACACTCTTGTTACGCATCGGTCTCACTCCTCCCCCATATCTCTCACTCTCTCGATATCTCCGCCCAAAGCCTTTGTTTCTCTTATCGTTGAAGATTCACCTGCATGTTTTTGGCCTGTATGCCTGTACTTTGATACTACATGACAATGTAAATACTGGCTTTTTTTTACACAGCCTTTGAGAGGTGTCTTGTAACATAAATTATCTGGGCGGATGCACAAGAGATGCACAACCCCACCCGGACAATTTCTTACGAGAATGTAATTTGAATGGAACAATAAATGATCACAAACAGACGCCTTACATTAATTTTGTTGACAGCAACGGTGGCGGAACAATTTTGAAAGTGTGTGTGGGTGTGTGTGTGTGTGTGTGTTGGGGGGGGGGGGCAAAGCACCGCCAGTGCCAGCGGGGGGGGGGGGCTAAACCTCATCTTCAATAGGGGCGCCCTTTTCCAAGAGTACGCTATTGTGGGACCTACCAAGAGTGAGGGGCATCCTCCCTCCCCAGTGGAAAAAGTGGTGGGGGGGGGGGGAGCTGGCCCCCCGGTCCCGCCGCCAGTGGTTGACAGATATCCTGTGTAATATTACGATCATAATTTAAGAAAACTAAAAATGCTTTCTAACCATAGGTTTTTTTTCGGCCAATTGAAAGTGTTCATTCACTTCTGAAAATTGGTCATTAATTTTCGTCTGAATTTGAGAATCGCTCTGAACACGCGATTTATTTTCGCTACAAGAGCGTTAGATTCCATTTCAGTTCAATCAATTAAGTAATTGAGCAGCACCTTTCGTTTATGTCCTTGCAGACTTGTTTACAAGACTCTTTTTCGCTTTTAAAGGGCGATTTACAACATTCACCATTCTATATTTCGCTTTTAGTTTAATGCCATCGGTACCGGATACAATTAGGGGTTTCTTTTTCATTAACCGTCAATCAAATTAGCTGTGAATATGAAATCAATTTTAAAAAGATCTGCTTGCGTAAACGAATGCACAGGTAACGTAATTGGCTGTCTGTTTCTCAAAACCGAATGCACGGACAATATGAAAACGATTGAACTTTCGTTGAATTGAGCATTAAAGACGTGCATTCAAATTCAGACGAAAAACGAATGACCGATTTTCAGAAGTGAATGAACATTTCATTAAATTGGCTGGGAAAACCTATATTAGCGCAAGAAAAACAAAATTATATTGATGACCCTCCGTCGCAACCTTCAGCCCCGACAAACTTTGACACAGAGCCCCAAACTGCATATCAGTAGATCCAAGGTCAATAGTTCGTTTTTTGGCAGCGACAAAAACAAAAAGCCAAAACTAGGGATACGAGCCCACTAAATCAACATGTTCGATCAGCTGCATATGATTGCAGAGGCAAATGAACGCCTCGGGTTCAAACTTCAATAACGAATTCAGTGTATAGCTAGCTCCACGATCAATCGCGTGCATTTAGGTCTCTCGGCAGTGACGAGTACAGTGACGGGACAAACAGGTTAGTTACAAATGGTTACCTTACAGGACTACCCTTGTAGTTGTACATGTACATGTAACACACACGGTGTTATAGGCCTTCCATCGGATCTACGATCATAGAGGAACCTTCTTAATCCCTTATGATACGATCGTCTGTAAAACTTGCACGAGTGCATGTTGTACCAATGATACATTATGTTATGACTGCATGAGTTATCATTGTCGTGCGTAACACCACGACTGCATTAAGATGTCATGATTGACTTTACCAAAATCCCGGTACGCCAAAATAAGCGAAAAAAAGGAGCTACCGGCCCGGGTCATAATTATAGGGTTGTGCAAAATAAAGTGTATGACTTAAGTCAAACGATAATTTGTAAAAGTGTAAAATTAATTGGAGGGTACAATTCACGTCAAAATTTTATAGATAATTAATTCCAAACGTTTCTCAGCTCCTTATCCATAAAAACAAACCATCCCTTTTCAGGAGCTGTTTTGAATGGTCACCGAGCCCTCCTCAGAAACCCGACAACGGCAACACAGTACAAAATCCATCCCGCAAAGGCCCCAAACTCACGGGCAACGCCTGAATTTGCATTGCAATCTTGCAAGTTCGTTGGCCTCAAATCATTCTATTATTCGAGAATTGTAGACCAGTAATCGTGCTATATCAGCCCGGTCAAGGGCTTACTCTATTATTTAGGAATACGTCTCCTTTGCTACATGATACTATCTGCAGAATCTGATAACGAGTGGTAGGCCTAAACACCTTGGTTTTTTTATTGTATTTTTTTTATTTTTGATATTCAACATACTCTGATTGATTTATCTCTGGATTCAATATCTGTGACTCACGCACAGTACGACATTAACGTTGTATTAGTTTGAGAATTGTGTATGGGCTCCGTACGCCAACAAAGAGGGCGCCCTTTTACCTAGCAACGACGTCCCATGGGCGCAAGACATTTAGCTGGTTGACACGCACCGTTCCTTGTGTGTGACGCACGTACACCAGGGGATTTGTACTATGTACACGCAGTGGCCGCGCTTCGCGGCAAAATATTGCAGTCAGGCAAGATGGCGTCGTTCGGTCACCCCAACTGTACTTTCTTTGCCGGTGAGGGGGTACCTGTGAACGGAGCGGATAGACCAATCCGGGCACGCTATCAATTTTATTACGAAAGACCCTTCAAATGGCGAAAGCATAATATCATACCATACTAGCTGTTTTTCAGATGAATCCGTCACAAGCTATTGTCAGTGGACATAGGGTTCATACACTATGTATTTTTGGGTGCAATATTTGAAACTCTCAGGATCACTTAACGGTACCTCAATTAGTTCAACACCACTTTATGCCATTTTTCTGACCCTTTTATGGGCCGGGCCATGACATTAAAAGTGTGTGTGTGTGTGTAGGGGGAGGGCTTCGAGCGCAAGAACGATTCAGATAATTTTAATTTTCCTTTTCGCATTTGCACAGCTCACAAATTCTACATCTCGAGGATGAAAAAATATTCCAGAATTTAGCATCTTTTGGGGATTGGGCCACATTTTTTTCTATAAAAGTGGGGGCAATGATGTTAACAGAAAATGTAGTTGTAACGAACAATCTTTGTGGTTTTTTTTTTAAATAATTGTGCTTAATTGTGTTTTTTTTACCATCCAGTAAAGTGAACGAGGGTGGACAGAACGTTAACAGGTAAAATCATAAACTTTTATTTCCCTTTCGGGGCGTGTCACATTATTTTTCATAAAAAGGGGGCAAATATTGCATATGAACAAGAAACCAACAATGTATCCCTTTGTTCTTTTTATGATTTGAGGTAGTAGGTTTCTTATGCCTGCAAGCATGGATCTTTACGATGTATGGAACCACATCAACGTCCGCACAGCCCTTCTTGGTTTTACGCTTTTCACGATCCTCTTCTGGGTCTTCAGACGGCCCAGGAACCTCCCTCCCGGCCCTAGGGGATGGCCGCTGCTGGGTTACCTACCGCAACTAGCCATGATTAAAGGGCCTATCCACGAGGCTTTGGGGGAGCTTTCTCATAGGTATGGTAGGAACCTGATTTAGCTCAGAAACAAAACTTTAAAAAGTGTCCGTTAAGTTTCTAGTTGATTTGTAGAGTTTGTGGCGTTATTTACTCGAAGTTCGTAAGTGTACACTTTAAGACAAACTTTATATACATGTACGTTGTGACACAGTCACACCACTCTAAATTCACTGGATTATGTTTCAGAAGTTACATATCTCTGTTCAGAAAATGATTTGCAAAATAATGATTTGCAATCGCCGCGATCGTCATGATAGTTATTACCTGAAAATGGCGTTCCTTCTTTTTACGTTTCGTGGTTTCCCTTTTTGTTGCACTTGATTCAAAGTGTATTCAGTGCATAATAAATTGTTTGCATAGATACGGAAGTCTGGTGAGCTTTTCAGTGGGCAATCACCTCGTCGTACTCCTGCAAGATTATGACGTCATGAAAGAAGCATTTGCCCAGCATGAGTTGAGTGGACGGCCGACATTGGAGCTCAGTCAGTTAACTCTGCCTGGCTACGGTGAGCCTTCAGCCAGTATCAAATAGTTTATTATGGGTCTTCATCAGTATAAACTTTCCAGACATAAGCTGATAATAGACGCGGACGTGTTGTTCTAAACGCCAATTTCAAACACAGTCTCAGTGACCCTCTGTAAAGGAATTGCTGCGCTATGTAGGTCATATCTGGCTCTTACGTGGCGATACAAATTATCTCGTATTCCATGTGAATTTCCCTCTACGTATTCTACTAGTACAGGTTGGGATATGAAGCTGGAAAGACAAAAAGACACTGTTGTACGACATTTCCTGAGACGATTTCCGCCGTGTTCGTTGTTGGTAGCACATGTTGTACCAAGGAAATCACATTATTTGAAATTTGGTTAAGTTATGGATGGTCGTTCTTAAAAACTAGTTAGAAATTAACCGCACGAGTTTAATTTTTGGTGGAAAAGCTTGAGGCAGTGAAAGTGAATTTCGTAAAAACAGGACGAGTACAAAATAATCAACAAGGCGATTCTGCCCATGCAAGACCGTACCACTGAAAATGGTAGGTTTTTAATTGATGGCTAGTAGGCCTACAGTACAGAACATAACTTTTAAAGCAACTTTTCCTCTCCTAAAAAATAACAGGCGTCCTCACAGCGTCTGGTGAGCCCTGGCTTGAGCTTCGTCGGTTCTCAATCACAACCCTACGAGGCTTCGGAGTGGGCAAGTCAAGCTTCGAGGAACACATCACTACGGAGACCAAGTGTCTGATGGAGGAAATCCGCAAAACCAAGGGGGAGATTCTCAACCCAAGACACTATGTAGAGAACGCTGTGTCTAATGTCATCTGCTCTGTGGTCTTTGGAAGGCGGTTCGAGTACACGGATACGCAATTCAAAAGGCTCTTGGAGGCCCTTAATAATATATTTGAAATCATTGGAGCAGGTGGAGTGGTCCAGTTCGTACCCATATTTGCCAAGTTGCAGTTCCTACCCTTCGTGAAGAAGATCATCCACACCAACCTCAGCTTCGACGAGATTCTCTACCAGCTGTTGTTCAGAAGGAACGTGCAACAAGGAGAGGTGGAATACAACGAGAACCCGCGAGATTTCGCGGGAGCGTTTATGAAGGCGATGGATGACAAGGAGGAGCAAGGTGTCCACACGTATCTGACCCCAGCGAGTATGCAATACACGCTTGGAGACCTGTTTGGGGCCGGAACGGAGACTACTTCGACAACACTCCTCTGGGCTTTGCATTTTATGGTCGTATACCCTGAAATCCAGACCCGGGTACAGAAGGATATAGACAGAGTTGTTGGACGTAATAGGCTACCCAGGCTGTCTGACAAACCCGAGCTACCCTACGTGGAAGCGGTCATCAGCGAGGTTCAACGCTTGGGGAACACCGTGCCTCTGGGAGTACCTCATAAATGCATCGAAGACACAACTCTGCGAGGGTATGTTCTATAAATTGGGCGCAGTAACATTTCTGCAGTAAAGAGTGTAGTAAAGAGTGCAGTACAAATACTGTAAGGCTTCTGCACCACGAACTTGCACACAAACTGTGGCGGATAGGCCTATTTTTGTATTGTGTATTCACAATTATGAATCAAAGCAAGTGCAGTTTTGAAAAGCAAGCAATTGTTTTTCTGTTCGTGATCTTACTTTGTATTTTTATGTCTTGTGCTGCATCCATCCAGGTATCATATCCCAAAGGGTGCCACCATCGTGGCCAACTTGTGGCGCGTTCACAATGACCCGATCGAGTGGTCCAATCCCAGCGAGTTCAGACCGGACCGATTCCTGGACGAAGATGGCAAGTTTGTTCGGCGGGAAAAGCTCATCCCGTTTGGAATAGGTAAGAAAGTGTGCAAGAAATTCTAGGATTGTATCTCTGTCTCGAACCATTTCTTTTAGTTCCCATAGGTCTTTTCTTAGACTAAGAATTCAGGATACTGTGGCGGTCTCGATAGACGGTGCCTAGGCTTGCCCTCGGCCGACCCAACGAGTGGCTGTAGAGAAGGCCAGGATGACAGGTTCGTTTTGGGACCCAGGCCTTCCGCTAGGAGGTCGCAGCTGGTTCAGTCCACACAACGAGGTTTTACTCGACACTAAACTATAGAGGTTGTGGGGGCACAGGAGAAGGGGATAGGACCGGGGTCTGATGTTCCTACAATACAGTACTCAGACTTTACAGCTTTTATGTCTAATTGGAGTGCCTATACTTTTTATTCTAACACAGATCATCTTGGTAGGAGTAGGTGACGCCTAAACAGGTGTACATTTGTTCTACTGCACTGACGAACACAAAACATTTCGACACACATGTTGAATATTCAGAATTTCGATGATTCTCCTAGACTCCTACTCACTTTGGACTTAACTGACTGTGATCTGATTCTTCTTCGGATAAGTCGGACTGGACGATGCTACTCACACGGTTTATAAATTTACTGGATTAGACATTGACGACTGATAATTAACGTGTGATAGGACTGCTGGTGGGGAATTCTGGCATGACTTCAAATGGACGGAGACGTGAATTGCCTTTACCAAAATGTAAATTTTTCAAACCTTAACTATAAGACTTGATGGTGCTGAAGTGAAAAATGTACCCTTAGTGAACTGGAGTGTCACACGTTAGAAGCCTGTTGGTTTTCAGACACGCAAGCAAAGTCCAGCCGAGTTTTCGATAAACCACTGAGACTGTATTGGACATTCTGTTCTCTTCACAGGTAGGCGTGTGTGTCTGGGGGAACAGCTTGCACGGATGAAACTCTACATCATCTTCTCCTGCCTCCTGCATCAGTTCACCTTCCAGACACCAGAGGGCGCCGCACCTCTAGCCTTCAAGGCGTGTCAAGGAATTACGCTTGCTCCCGCGCCGTTTGAAATCTGCGCGAATCCGCGAGATACCTAGCTGTGTTTGTAGTTCGTAAAAGATTCTCGCTTCGTATTTCGCATATATATGTCATAACAATGTGATAAGGTAAATAAGGTAAACCTACCAAAGTACCAAGAAAGAAAGTTCCGTTAATTTGTTTTTAAAGTTAAACCTGATCGAGGTATGCAAGGAACAATAGCAAGAAAGAAGAGTATTGAAATAAGTATTATAAGATAATCCTCTTTGCAATGTTTTGTGGTAGGACCACAGAATTACGGTTGGTAACAATCTTTTTTTTTTTTTACAAACACTGGGCAAACAAAGGGGATAATTTTGTGTCTGACCTACTCGACGACAAAGGTGCTTTTTTGAGCTTGGAGTGCTTTATGTTAAAATTCAGTATTAGAACTAACTTTCTAGAGTATGGTGGTGTCGTCAAGGCCGCCAACAATTCTTTTTGTAATTTCCTTAAAGATGTTAAGTCAAATATTTGCTTTCCTTTTATCCCATTTAATTTTGAGATACTTGTGTTAGATAAAAAAGGTTTTGCCCGTATCTATCATATTTTACTTCAGTGAAAACAAAGGTTGCAAGTAAATTCATTGATAAATGGGAAACAAAATTGAGCATCAATTTCCCTGCAACTAAATGGTTGGTTTTCTGCAGTATGCCCTTTGCGATTTCTTATGATACTAAATTACGATGGTCATACAGGCGTCAATTCTTATTTGGTAAAGATTGGTAAAGGGCAGAACGACTTGAGGTCCTTCTGTCATGTAGAAAATGAAACTCTGATTCACTTATTTTGTACTTGTGAGATTTCTTTATCGTTCTGGACCCAAATTAGTGATTGGATTAAGAAGACCTTGAATATTATTGTGTTTGTAGATTAGGAGATAATTTTTTTTGGCATACTTAACAAAAACTGGAGCGCCCTTAACTTAAGTCTTCTCCTATGTGCCGTTACCATATTTACAAAATGAAGATGAATGGTAGCAAACCGTCTCTTTTAGTATTTAAGAATGAGCTAAAACGATACTATGTATAAATATTATAAAAATTCGTATTTGCTACAAATTGTAATCTTGCTAAATTTAATGCGAAATGGGACCCATTCTCTCTTTTATGTAATGATTAATTTTTTATTTGTTTATACTTATTGTAAAACGCAAGAGAAACGCTTCTTCTAATAAAGTTGTGGAAAAAAAGTGTTCGAATTATTACCATTTCACCATAATAGGGCCCAGAGGCAGCCTCTTTTACGTGAGCTAAAATATTTAAGCATAACAAACCTTAATAAATACAAACAAGCACTATTTATGTACAAGTATAAAAAATAACTGACTGCCAATTTCCTATTCAAACCTGTTTGTACTCTTAACTGTAAATTACATACTACACTCGTGTGTCTAATAACTTTCATTTCCACATATCGCAACATAGAACATCTGCCGTTCAATACAACATTAAATACTCCGAATCTTAATAATGGAATAATGTACCATTCTCTTTTAGATGTTCAATATAATATTTTTAAACGCAAACTTAAATTGTACCTTATGTAATGTGATATATTTTATATGTAATGTGTCTCTGCCCTTGGACTTTTTATGCACGACGATCCTACTCGTAGCCCATTAGTTTTCATAACTTTGTTTACTGCTTAGAAGTATACAGTGTCATGTGTGTAATTTTTTTTTTTCTGTTATAATTCGTCTGTTTTTGTGTAATGGCATGCCTGATACATGCTTTCAAGGTTTTGCCACCTCTAGTGGCCTTTATATTTTGTTCAATACCTATAATATAAGAGGAAATAAATGTGTTTGAATGAAATAAGTTTCCCCTGAGAAAAAAGGGGGAAAAAAGTATTATTAGATGATATGGTATTACTACACCTCATAAATATTCATGATCAAATTGGAGCGCGTCATTGTAGTATAGGCTGTTATATCCTTTTGCATTTTTTTTGCTAAAGAAGGAATTTTTGTCGTATTTGAATAGAGTTTACCTTCCTAAGCCGGAAATCCATTGGTAACATTTGTTTCCATCTACCGTGTGGCGGCCATCTTGGATTTCAAAATGGCCGCCATTTGTGACCTAATTCATAACTTCGGACCTGATTGTCATATGAAGTTCATTGTGGTGGCAAACCCCATGTTTTTGATACCAAGGAACCCGAATGCATTATTGTTTATGGTGTACTCCAAATGGATGGCAGCCATCTTGGATATTTTAAAATGGCCGCCGGCATTTTCGACTTATTTGCATAATAAATTTGGACTCAAATGTCGCACGAAGTCCATTTCGGTGGCAAACCCCACCAATTTGATACCAAGTAATCTAAATGGGGCCGTATCATAAGTCCGACGCCTCATAGGTCCGACGCCTCATAAGTCCGAAATTTCGGAATTATGAGGCGTCGAACTTATGAAGCATAACATTTATTTATTCCGCCTCATAGGTCCGAGGCCTCATAAGTCCGACGCCTCGTAAGTCCGACGTTGGAAAAACGAGGCGTTTAATTTGTCGGACTTACGAGGCTCGGAGCTATGAGGCGTCGGAGTTATGAGGCGTCGGACTTCTAGTGAGGCGTCGGACTTCTAGTGAGGCGTCGGACCTATGAGGCGTCGGACTTATGGGTCTTTAATTGGTTAGGGGATGCGATTTTATCGGACTTATGAGGCGTCGGACCTTTGAGGTGTCGGACTTATGAGCGGACCCTTATGAGTCGTGAACGCGATCACTCCTCTCCATCATCCAATTTATCCAGTGGTCGTTCCCCAATCACCTATCTAAATAAGCGTGACAGAAGTCATCGCTCACACTTTTTACACAGCCTTTGAGGTGTCTTGTAACATAAATGACCTGGACGGATGCACAGGAGCCGCACAACCCCACCCAGACAATTTCTTACGAGAAATTTAATGTGACAATGAATGATGATCACAAACGGACGCCTTACATGTTGACAGATAGCCAATGTAATATCACGATCATTATTCAAGAAAACTAAAATGTTTTCTTCGTATTCTACTATAAGCGTAAGGAAATGAAAACAAAATTATATTGATGACCGTCGCAACCTTTAGCCCCGATGAACTTTTCCATGGAGCCCCAACTGCATATCAGTAGAGATCAGAGATCATTAGTTCGTTTTGCCTGTGCAGCGACAAAAACAAAAAGCCAAACTAGGGATACGAGCCCACTAAATAAACATGTTCGCTGCATATGACTGCAGAGGCAAATAAACTCCTCTGGTTCAAACTTCAATAACAAATGCAGTTTTTAGGTACAGCTCCACGATCAACATGCATTTAGTTCTGTCTGCAGCTGACGACTGAGTAGGCCTACAGTGACGGGACAAACAGGTTAGTCTCAAATAGTTACTTTACAGGTGCCCTTGGACATGTACATGTAACACACACGTGTTATAGGCCTTCCATCGGATCTACGATCATGGAGGAACCTTGTTATGCTTATGATAGAATCGTCTGTAAAAATTACACGTGTGCATGTTGTACCAGTGATACATTATGTTATGAGTGCGTTTTGTCGTGCGTAATACCACTATGACTGCATTTAGGATGCCATGATTAACTTTACAAAATCCGTACGCCAAAATAAGCAAAAAAGGAGCTACCGGCCCGGGTCATATGCTTGCGCAAAACTTGAAAGTCAATGACTTAAGACAAACGATAAATTGTAAAATGTGTAAAATTTGAGGGCACAATTCACGTCCAAATTTTATAGATATTTAATTCCAAACTTTTCTCAGAACAAACTATATCAATATAAAGGAGCTGTTTTGAATGGGCACTGAAACTATACTAGCTGTTCAGATGAACCCGTCACATTACAAGCTTTAGTCAGTGGGCTTCTGGGGTTCATACACTTTTTATTCTGACCTTTTATGGGCCGGGCCATGACATTAAAAAGTGAGGGGGGGGGGGGCGGGGCTTCGAGCGCCCAAAAAAGCGATTCAGATAATTTCACTTTTCTTTTTCGATTATGCACAGCTCACTCAAGTGCTACGCATCTCGAGGATAAAACATATCCAGAATTTGGCATCTTTTGGGGATTGGACCACAATTTATGAAAGTGGGGGCAATTTTTACCATCCAGTATAGTGAACGGGGGTGGACAGAAAGTTTACGTGTCAAATCATAAACCTTTTTTTCCCCCCTTTGGGGGCGTGTCACATTTTTTGCATAAAAAAGGGGCACATCTTGCATAATGAACAAAAACCAACAATGTACCCCTTTGTTCTTTTTATCATTTGAGGTCGTAGGTTTCTTATGCCTGCAAGCATGGATCTTTACGATGTATGGAACCACATCAACGTCCGCACAGCCCTTCTTGGTGTGACTCTCTTCATGATCCTCTTCTGGGTCTTCAGACGGCCTAGGAACCTCCCTCCCGGCCCTAGGGGATGGCCGCTGCTGGGCTACCTACCGCAACTAGCCATGATTAAAGGGCCTATCCACGAGGCATTGGGAGAGCTGTCCCAAAGGTACGGTATGAACCTGATTTAGCTCAGAAAGAAAACTTTAAAAAAGTATCGGATTACGTTTCTAGTTGATTTGTAGACTATGTGGTGTTATTTCGTAAGTGTAGACTTTAAGACAAACCTTATATACATGTACGTTGCGATACAGTCAAACCACTCTAAATTCACTGGATTATGTTCTAGAAGTTACATATCTCTGTTCAGAAAATGATTTGCAAAATAATTATTTGCAATCGACGCGATCGTCATGATAGTTGTTACCTGAAAATGGCGTTCCTTCTTTTTACGTTCCCTATATAGTGCTCCGTGGTTTCCTTTTTTATTGCACTTGATTCAAAGTGTATTCAGTGCATGATAAATTGTTTGCATAGATACGGAAGTCTGGTGAGCTTTTCAGTGGCCAATCACCTCGTCGTACTCCTGCAAGATTATGACGTCATGAAAGAAGCATTTGCCCAGCATGAGTTGAGTGGACGGCCGACATTGGAGCTCAGTCAGTTGACTCTGCCTGGCTACGGTGAGCCTTAAGCCAGGATCAAATAGTTTATTATGGGTCTTCATCAGTATAAACTTCTCATGCATTTATAGACGCAGACGTGTTGTTCTAAACACCAATTTCAAACAAAGTCACAATGACCCTCTGTAAAGGAATTGCTGCGCTATGTAGGTCATATCTGGCTCTTTCGTGGCGATACAAATAAAATTTCGTATTCCATGTGAATTTCTCTTTACGTATTCTACTAGTACAGGTTGGGATATGAAGCTGGAAAGACAAAAAGACACTGTTGTACGAAATTTCCTGAGACGATTTCCGCCGTGTTCGTTGTTGGTAGCACATGTTGTACCAAGGAAATCATATACTTGAAACTTGTTCTGTAATGGATGGTCGTTCTTAAAAACTAGTTAGAAATTAACCACACGAGTTTCATTTTTCGTGGAAAAGCTTGAGGCCGTGAAAGCGAATTTCGTAAAAACATGACGAGTACAAAATAATCAGCAAGGCGATTCTGCCCATGCATGACTACCGTCTTGTCACTGAAAGTTTTTAATGGATGGTTAGTACAGTACAGAAAATCATTTAAAACAACATTTCCTCTCCTTTCCTCTTGAAAAAAAATAACAGGCGTCGTCACAGCGTGTGGTGAGCCTTGGGTTGAGCTCCGTCGGTTCTCAATCACAACCCTACGAGGCCTCGGAGTGGGCAAGTCAAGCTTCGAGGAACACATCACCACGGAGACCAAGTGTCTGATGGAGGAAATCCGCAAAACCAAAGGGGAGATTCTCAACCCAAGACACTTCGTACAGAACGCTGTGTCTAATGTCATCTGCTCTGTGGTCTTTGGAAGGCGGTTCGAGTACACGGATACGCAATTCAAAAGGCTCTTGGAGGCGCTTAATAATATATTTGAACTCATTGGGGCAGGTGGAGTGATCCAGTTCGTACCAATATTTGCCAAGATGCAGTTCCTACCCTTCGTGAAGAAGATCATCCACACCAATCTCAGCTTCGACGAGATTCTCTACCAGCTGTTGTTCAGAAGGAACGTGCAACAAGGAGAGGTGGAATACAACGAGAACCCGCGAGATTTCGCGGGAGCGTTCATGAAGGCGATGGATGACAAGGAGGAGCAAGGTGTCCACACGTATCTGACCCCAGCGAGTATGCAATACACGCTTGGAGACCTGTTTGGGGCCGGAACGGAGACTACTTCGACAACACTCCTCTGGGCTTTGCATTTTATGGTCGGATACCCTGAAATCCAGACCCGGGTACAGAAGGATATAGACAGAGTTGTTGGACGTAATAGGCTACCCAGGCTGTCTGACAAACCCGAGCTACCCTACGTGGAAGCGGTCATAAGCGAGGTTCAACGCTTGGGGAACACTGTGCCTCTGGGAGTACCTCATAAATGCATCGAAGACACAACTCTGCGAGGGTATGTTCTATAAATTGGGCGCAGTAACATTTCTGCAGTAAAGAGTGCAGTAAAGAGTGCAGTACAAATACTGTACGGCTTCTGCACCACGAAGTATATGTAACTGCACACATTCGGTGGCGGATAGGCCTATTTTGTATTGCGTATTCACAATTATGAATCAAAGCAAGTACAGTTTGGAAAAGCAAGCAATTGTTATTCTGTTCTTGATCTTACTTTGCATTTTTATGTCTTGTGCTGCATCCATCCAGGTATCATATCCCAAAGGGTGCCACCATCGTGGCCAACTTGTGGAGCGTTCACAGTGACCCGTCCGAGTGGCCCAATCCGAGCGAGTTCAGACCGGACCGATTCCTGGACGAAGATGGCAAGTTTGTTCGGCGGGAAAAGCTCATCCCGTTTGGAATAGGTAAGAATGTGTGCATGAAATTCTAGGATTGTATCTCTGTCTCGAACCATTTCTTTTAGTTCCCATAGGTCTTTTCTTAGACTAAGTATTCAGGATACTGTGGCGGTCTCGATCGACGGTGCCTAGGCTTGCCCTCAGCCGACCCAACGAGTGGCTGTAGAGAAGGCCAGGATGACAGGTTCGTTTTGGGACCCAGGCCTTCTGCTAGGAGGTCGCAGCTGGTTCAGTCCACACAACGAGGTTTTACTCGACACTAAACTATAGGGGTTGTGGGGGCACAGGAGAAGGGGATGGGACCGGGGTCTGTTGTTCCTACAATACAGTACTCAGACTTTACAGCAGCCAGATGTCTAATTGGAGTGCCTATACTTTTTATTCTAACACAGATCATCTTGGTAGGAGTAGGTGACGCATAAACAGGTGTACATTTGTTCTACTGCACTGACGAACACAAAACATTTTTGACACACATGTTGAATATTCTGGCATGACTTCAAATGGACGGAGACGTGAATTGCCTTGACCAAAATGCAAATATTCAAAACCTTAACCATAAGACTTGATGGTGCTGAAGTGAAAAATGTACCCACAATGAACCGGAGTGTCACAAGTTAGAGGCCTGTTGGTTTTCAGACACGCAAGCAAAGTCCAGCCGAGTTTTCGATAAACCACTGAGGCTGTATTGGACATTCTTTTCTCTTCACAGGTAGGCGTGTGTGTCTGGGGGAACAGCTTGCACGGATGAAACTCTACATCATCTTCTCCTGCCTCCTGCATCAGTTCACCTTCCAGACACCAGAGGGCGCCGCACCTCTAGGCTTCAAGGCGTGTCAAGGAATTACGCTTGCTCCCGCGCCGTTTGAAATCTGCGCGAATCCGCGAGATAATTAGCCGTGTTTGTAGCTCGTAAAAGGGTCTCTCTTCGTATTTCGCGTATAATTATGTGTCATAACAGTGTGATATAATTCATAAGGTCGAATTTTGCGTCGGGGTAATGTATATAAAGTGTGATATAAAGGTAAATAAGGTAAACCTATCAAGAAAGGTAAACCTATCAAGAAAGAAAGTTCCGTTAATTTTTTTTTATGGTTAAACCTGAACGAGGTATTGCAAGGACCAAAAGCAAGGAAGAAGAGTAATGAAATAAGTATTATAAGAGGATATAGCATAACTACACCGCATATAGATTCATGATCAAATCGGAGCGCGTCATTGGTCGATTCCGCCGCACGTCCGGGAAGTGAAAATGATACACGCCCAGGTGACGTCATCCCGGTGTCGCTCGCTGCCGTGGGGTAGTTTTTTCTGGTAGCACCAAAAATTCCCTCTGGAACCCGCCTCGTAGACATGTAGTCTATGGCATGTTATCTTTACGAAACCAGTCTGTTGTTGCAATACTTGTTACTACTGCAGTAAAAACATATTAAAGAGTGTTGGCACGATACTATTTCATGTATGCTGTGACGAAGAATATGAATTGTGCTGAATAAAGATGCAAATTCTACGAAGGCCGCTATCAATAAGGCAGTCTTCAGGCTACTAAAAAGACAGTGAGGCTACTAAATATTATTGATGAGGTGTAGTAAAACAAATACAGCATAGTTTATTTCTGGAAAGTTTATTGGTTTATTTCTGGAATTACTGGTCCCTCGGTGTAGGTCAGCTTGACTACCTCCCTCCGCTTCGCGTCGGGAGGTAGTCAAGTGACCTACACCGAAGGACTATAGTAATTCCCACTACTTCCCCTCAAACCATGCTGTATTTGTATAATATTTGATGTCACAATCATCATGATAATTGCCTCAGTGAAACAGATTGACTGTTTTTGGTCTTGAGTGATTGTAAAAGTATTAATGTATTATTTTTAAGGGGGCCTTATTTACAGCTGGAAATTATTTTAGAGGTGATAGACCTCCGAAGAAATGCGCTTTTGAGTATTTCGTTATGTCATTATTCGAGCTTAAAGATAAAAAATTCTGAATTAATATCACAGAAATATGTAAAATTATGCATTTATTTAACCCCTTTCTACACTGAGGGACCAGTATTTAGACTGACCAATATTGACACGGACGTCTCTAGAGGGGGTTGTGGGAATGTGACACCGCCATCATCGTTAATGTCGGCAAATATGCCGTGTCTATCGGAAAATATGCCGCGGTATAAGCTTCGTGGCTGGGGTCCTATTTACAGGTGGGGGGGGGGGGGGGAGAGAGGGTGGGAGCCATACAGCCATATTGTTGTCCGATAGTGTTAAAAAAGTCTGCTTTGAACAGTGCCCCCCTACGGGTTAGATGGTGTCCACCCCTGTTTTCTTTTATTATATGCTGCGGCCTGGTGACCGGCAAAAAAAATCCAGGCTACCTACCAGTACGGATGGTCTATCAGCAAATGTCAACCTCCCTCCCCTATGGTTTCGCTACGCTCCTGGTCAAAGATCAACTAGACATTACTGTCGGTGATGGGCTTATACCTGGACATCACATTGTGGCCCAGCTAATCTTAAAATTGTAGGAACCAGTGGCATAAATTAACCAAGGAGCACTCTCTCTATTTAAAGAATGAAAATTCACTCCATTCGAGTGAAGATTCACTCCCACAGTCGGAAACTAGGGACCAGACGTTTTAGAGTGAAATTTCTTCAATCGTAAAGATCGAGGTTTCACTCGAGCTTCGACTGAAGTGGTTCATGTCAATCGAAAATGAGAGTGATTTTCACTCTTCAACGTCTAGTCCCTTATTTCACTCTTTGGAATTTAGAGTATAGGAGAGGTATGGAGGTACGCCCCCGCTCTAGGCCCGTGCCCCCATTGCCCCTCCCCTTTTGCCCCACCTCCCTAATCGCTCAGATTTTGAGGAAAGCAAATCAGCTTTTTATTATTGCTTAAATGACACTGAGTGCCCCTCTTCAGAAATGAGCCCCCACCCTCAAGTGTTCCCCGGTAAATAGGACCTCAGCCACGGAGCTTATACCGCACGTAACTGTTAAACTCGATATTAGCAGGCTGTCCTCTTTTAACTATCTTGTATACTATAGTTCTTGAATTAAATCAGAATGAGTATGCAATTCAGAGATGAGTGCGAAATAATGCAAGATTGATTGATTTAAACCGAGTATGAGTGATTATGTGAGGATGGTATACGTAATCCTGCTGCCATGCTAGTGATTTCCTGAATCGCTGAGACTGTCTCACTCCCTGTTGCTGAGCATCAGGGATTATGTTGAACTGGATCCTTCAGTTGGATCTCGAAGTCTGGCTCAGATGGTGGTTGTGGCACCCGGATTATGGCGTCTGTTCCGACGATATTCTGTGTCGTTCACTCTCACAGATCTGTTGAAGATGAGTAAACTTCAGTGTTTGAGCCTCAGGCCTCAGTATAAAAATGTTTTAAGCCAGAAATAAATAATCGTACAAATTATTGACGTAGGGAGTGGGGTCAGACACTTTGTCTCTGCCGCATCGACTACATCTCTTCCCTCCTTTTTGAGATTGGTACGCGTCTGTGGGGTGTTTTTTTTGTAGTACAGTAAGTGTTGCTTGGCATTTTTGTGTAGTGCGTGAACTGATGCTGTGTCGGCGCTAGGGCTGCTCTTATTAAATCAAGCACGTCCTTAATTGGTAGCTGTTTCAAGGGTTTTGGCCAAGTCCATGGCTGCTTTGAAGGTGACACCATCTTTGGTGAGAAGATGTTTCTGGGTATTGATGCTGCTCAGACCACCCACAAGCCCTTCTCTAACTAACACCTCTTCATCGGCACCACCCTCTGAACAATCATAGAGTGACACATCGGTCTCGCTTCCTTTCCCCTACATCCCTCACTCTCCACACAAAACCTTTGCATCTTTTTAACGTTAAATATTCACCATGCCGTTTTATATAGGGGGCCTATACTTTTAAACCAGCCTTTTGAGAGGTGTCTTGTAACATAAATTCTTGGCGGATGCATAGGAGATGCAAAACCTGAGCCTCTTATTTCTTTTATTGTGGGTAGCCCATTCGATGGAATTCACTGGGCTACCATGGGGCGGATTAAAGAGAGGACAATGTGAAGGAAATCCCCCGAATAATACTCTGTGGAAAACCCACGGAATCAGGCTCGGACTGGAAAGCCAATCCACATAATGGCCCAGGTAGAAATCGAACGCAGGTCACAGCGGTGGAAGGCGAGTAAAGTATCGCTTCACCAACCAGCCTCCAACCAGACGATTTCTTACAAGACTGTTTTTTACGAAACAACGAATGACGATCACCAGCAGACGCCTTGCAGATGTTGACAAAATAGCCAGTCTGCTTCCGCGATCACGATTTAAGACAGCAAACTACAAATGCTTTCTTCGTAATCTGCTGTAGCTTTTTCCGGCTATTTGAAATGTTTGCATTCAAATTCACCAACTCTAACATTCAATTTCGTCCGAGAAAAATTTCAAACGCTTTTAACAAAACCAATTTTGTCATTTACCATTCAATTTCAAAGTTTGGTCACCATCTTTAGTCACCGGGTCGATAATCATTAGAGATCAAATTTCGTCTAAGTTGTTGCCGAATGGCATCATTCAGAGATCGAAGTCGTCTTTATATGAATCAATAATAGACGAATTTAATTTCTGAATAACAAGGTTTGGCGTAGAGTAGACGAAATCGAATACTCCACGACGAAAACGTGTGCTCGTATCATTGTTTGAATTTGATTGAACTGAATTTGAAATTGTCCGACAAAAGACGAAATTAAACATTGGAGGTGTTCTAAATCGATGTTGATGGACGAAATGGAATATCAAAAACGGTGCATTCGAATGGTACACGTTTTAAAATAGCCGGGAAAACCTATATTAACGAAAGGGAATTAACGAAAACAAAAACTAAATCAATAACCCTCGCAACCTGTTGCCTCGACGAACTTACAGCGCCCAAAATTCATATCACTTAAAGCTCCAAGATCAAAAGTTCCTTTTGTGCTGCGACAACTGTGAGCCCACTAAATAATCATGTTCGCCTCATGTGACTGCAGAGGCAAATGACCTCTTCTGGTTCAAAGGTCCATAATTCAGTTGATAGCTCCATGATCAATCGCGTGCATTTCTGTCTGCAGCTGACGCGTAAGGTGACGGGACAAAACAGGTTAGTCACAAATGCAGGTTCCCCTGTACATGCTACTGTAGGGTGTATCATCTTCGTGCACGATCGTGGAGGAACCTTCCTATTCCTCCACGATACGATTGCCTGTTAAAATCACACAAGTGCAGGCTGCACTTTTATTAACATTTTATGAGAGTATGATATATCATTGTCGTGCGTAATACCACTACGACTAGACTGCTTGCACAGTGTCATCACTGACTGTACCAAAGAATCTGTGCGCCGGGGCATAGACTTGCACGCCATCAAGTAAAGTCTCATGACTTAGGCCAACGATAAGTGGTAAGAATTGTGTAATTTTCGAGGGTATCATTCAAGTCGAAATTGTATCTGTAGATACAATTCCAAACGTTTCTGAACTCCGACTCTAAACAAACTATATCCCATGAAATGAGCTGTTTTGAATGGTCATTCAGCCCTCGTCAGACACCCGACAACGGCACATTGTTTGTGCAATGGTGCAACGCACAACATCCATTCCGAGACCCCAACTCAATGTCTCAATTCGCATTGCAATCTTGCAAGTTCATTGCCCTCAAATCATGCTACAGTTCGAGAAGATTGTAGCCTGTAGGCCTAATCACGTGATGGTTATCAGCCCAGTCAAGGGTTAATTATTCTTTGATTTAGGAACACGTCTCCTTGCTGCATGATTACAAAAAACTGTCTGCGTTCACGTCAGCAGAAAACTGATAACGAGTGGTGTAAACCTTTTTAATTTACCGACTCTGATATAATATACATGCATTTATACGACATTAAATTTCTTTGCAGAATTGTGTATAAATGGTAGCCTGGTATTCCTTTTATTATTATTGGCAGCTGCAGTTACGCAACGGGAGTAGCCAAGCGTGTCTTTTCCTGCAGTTGTTGCAGGCATATCAGACCCTCAGTTCTGCGTGAACTTCGCTACGGGCAGCAAGAATTATCCTGCACCGTACTATATTGTTTACCGCGATCATTTACTGTGAATTCTTGTTTCGTCGCCGTGGTGAACCAGATTTGGCAGTAGTATACAGCTAATCGGTAAGCCACGGTTGACGTCCCACATAATTATATTAATTGTTTATGTATATTTATTTTGCCTACGAAGAAGATCTGGTAAAGTACATCAGGCCCGGCCTTATTTTTTGTGTGGTAATTTGTATATTTCAGGTCAATAAAGTGAGACAGCAGTTTGCAGGAACTTTATTTATTTTCATAATTTTATTTACTCTTATAACCCATGTGATTTCTTTCATTTGTCCTCTGTAGATAAATACGAAAGTTGTTAATTATTCACTGGCAAAAACTACGGCCCAAGAAAGCGTTTTTATTTTTTTTTTTAGACAAAAGCCTGTTCATTTTTTTTCTTTTTTGGCAAAGTTGGTCACACAAACTCTTGAATTATCATTCAATTGATTAAAATATTCACCAAAAGACTAATCCGGGCACGTTATCAATTCTATCACGAAGGCCCCCTTCAATGGCGAAAGCCTGTTGTTCAGATATATTAGTGCCCGAAGTCGTTTATATCCAAAGAACAGAAAATATCTGTATGAATTTGTTATTCTTTTTATGATTTGAGGTCGTAGTTTTCTTTTGCCTGCAAGCATGGATCTTTACGATGTATGGAACCACATCAACGTCCGCACAGCCCTTCTTGGTTTTACGCTTTTCACGATCCTCTTCTGGGTCTTCAGACGGCCAAGGAACCTCCCTCCCGGCCCTAGGGGATGGCCGCTGCTGGGTTACCTACCGCAACTAGCCATGATTAAAGGGCCTATCCACGAGGCATTGGGAGACCTGTCTCATAGGTACGGGTAGGAACCATGAGCAACTCACAACGAAAGCTTTAAAAATATATCTAGTTGCATGTGGTCTTATTTAAAAAAAAAATGTTTTGTACTAGAAGTTTGTCAGTGTACAGTCCTTATACCTATAGGTTGTAAAACGGTGTGGAACAGTCAAACCAGTCTAACTTCACTGGAATATTATGCTCTGCTCCTTCAGAAAATGATTTGCAAAATAAATATTTTCGATCACCGCGACTGCCATGATGGGTATTACATACACCTAAAATGGTGTTCCTTTTTCCTTCTGTTCCTTGTGCTTGGTGGTTTGTCTGTTTATTGCACTTGATTCAAAGTGTATTCAGTCCTCTAAAGTTATAACATTTTTTTTGTATAGATACGGAAGCCTCGTGAGCTTTTCAGTGGCCAATCAGCTCATCGTGGTCCTGCAAGATTATGACGTCATGAAAGAAGCATTTGCCCAGCATGAGTTGAGTGGACGGCCGAGATTGGAGATCAGTCAGATAACTCTGCCTGGTTACGGTGAGCCTTAAGCCGAGATCAAATCGCTTATTTGGAAATTTGGTGCAGGTTCTCGCACAACCTCCAGGCATCCCCCTTTTCGAACACAGATGTACTGAACCTCTATGAAGAATATGACAGAGGGCGTTGTGTAGGCCAGGTCATATCTGGCTCTTTCGTGGCGCTACAAATAATTTCATCTTTACTTGAAACTTGGTTTTGTAATGGATGCTCGTTTTTTAAAAACTTTATAGCTAGAAATTAACCACACGAGTTTGATTTTCGATGCAAAACCTTGATGCCATGATAATGATTTTCGTAGAAGCAGGACTGTCTTGTACAACATAATTATAATTAACGAAACGATTCTGCCCATGGAGGACTAGCGTCTTAAGGGTGGGGTTGCAAAGAGAGGCCTATACCAATGCTTTCAACGGTTTAGTAGAGTTCAGAACATAATAGGCCATCAGCCTGGGGGTTTGGCAAGTACCAAATCAGGGCAAAAATGATAATAGTGCGCATGAGCAAGGTATACCGCCCTAGAGTGGTAACAAGCATTTTGATGGACATTTTGAAAAAAAAGGGTGATAACACCCAAAAAGCTGCCACCGCTGCAATGCTATCACATATTTTCCAACTCTGGAGGTGTATGCCTTGCCTTAAATCGCTATGACGATTATTCCCCTCATTTGATACCGATGGCCAAAATTTTGGACCGAGGCTGATGGCCTATAATGTCCAGCAACATTTGCTCCCTTTGTTTTCTCGTCACAAATCTAACAGGCGTCCTCTCAGCGTCTGGTGAGCCTTGGGTTGAACTCCGTCGGTTCTCGGTCACAACCCTACGAGGCCTCGGAGTGGGCAAGTCAAGCTTCGAGGAACACATCACCACGGAGACCAAGTGTCTGATGGAGGAAATCCGCAAAACCAAGGGGGAGATTCTCAACCCAAAACACGTCGTAGAGAACGCTGTGTCTAATGTCATTTGCTCTGTAATCTTTGGAAGGCGGTTCGAGTACACGGATACGAAATTCAAAAGGCTCTTGGGGGTCCTCAGTAAGATGTTTGAGCTCATTGGGGCAGGTGGAGTGGTCCAGTTCGTACCCATATTCGCCAAGATGCAGTTCCTACCCATCGTGAAGGAACTCATCCACACCAACATCAGCTTCGACGAGATTCTCTACCAGCTGCTTTACAGCAGGAACGTGGACCAGGGAGAGTTGGACTTCAACGAGGACCCGCGAGATTTCGCGGGAGCGTTTATGAAGGAGATGGATGACAAGGAGAAGCAAGGTGTCCAAACGTATCTGACCCCAGCGAGTATGCACTACACGTTTGGAGACCTGTTTGGGGCCGGAACGGAGACTACTTCGACAACACTCCGCTGGACCTTGCTGTTCATGGTCGGATACCCTGAAATCCAGACTCGGGTACAGAAGGACATAGACAGAGTGGTTGGACGTAATAGGCTACCCAGGCTGTCTGACAAACCCGAGCTACCCTACGTGGAAGCGGTCATCAGCGAGGTTCAACGCTTGGGGAACATTGCGCCTCTGGGAGTACCTCATAAATGCACCGAAGACACAACTCTGCGAGGGTATGTTCTAGGATAGAGGCGCAGTAGCGTTTTCTTCAGTAGTAGTGCATAAAGAGTGCAATAAAATACCGTAAATTAAGCTCAGAACTGCATCATCAGTAATGTACAGCACACTTTCGGTGGCGGTTATTTTGTATTACGCATTCACATTAATCCAAATTAAGCAGGTAATTTTGCTTTACCTGTTCTTAATTTGAATTTGCATTTTTATGTGCTGTGATGCATCTATCCAGGTATCACATCCCAAAGGGCGCCCTCATCGTGGCCAACATGTGGTGCGTTCACAGTGACCCGTCCGAGTGGCCCAATCCCAGCGAGTTTAGACCGGAGCGATTCCTGGACGAAGATGGCAAGCTTGTTCGGCGGGAAAAGCTAATCCCGTTTGGAATAGGTAAGAACTTGTGCATCTCAACCGATTTCCCCCTTTTGTCGGTTCCCATAGATCTTTTCTTAGCCCAAGAGTATTCTTTTACTTGATGCAAGGGGAGTCCTCTTCGGAAGATGGAAGATGGCATGGAAGATGGAACATCTCACCTGGTGTTTCTTTCAATATAATTTCTCTAACTTGTAACAAATAGTTTTTGAACGACTGCAATTGAAGTACCCATATTTTTGTTCAGGAAAATGTAGTCGAATAGTGCTCTTAGTCATTCCCGGATAAGATTTGAACACCTGCATGTGTGTCAGTTACAAGGGTTTTCGAAACCTCGGCTTCGACTGTGGCTTCTCTGGCTTCTTGTATAGGAATAATTCAGAAACCTTTCATTTCATTGACCCAAATGTAAATATTCGAAGCTTCTACTATAAGACTTAATATAGATCTTGATTGATATAGCTGATAAGCTCATATAGGAACTTCATTCAGCTTGGAAGGGGTGGACATGCTATTGACGAGTGCTGAGGGATCTTAGGGTATCACTAATTTGATTGGTGTCTCCTATGCCAGTAATGTGCTGAGGGAGGTCGTTCCAGTCCTTGCTGGTCTGATAGAAGAACAATCTGTTCTCTTCACAGGTAGGCGCGTGTGTCTTGGGGAACAGCTTGCACGGATGGAACTCTACATCATCTTCACATGCCTCATGCATCAGTTCACCTTCCGGACGCCAGAGGGCGCCGAACCTGTAGCCTTCAAGGCGTGTCACGGAATCACGCATGCGCCCGCTCCGTTTGAAATCTGCGCGAATCCGCGAGATAATTAGCGGCGTTTGTATATAAGGAATTTGCCTATTTGGAAAGAAAGTTTCGTTGGGATTTTAAAACGTTTAACCTGAACGAGCTAAAGCAAGGACCAAAAGCAAGAAAGAAGAGTATTGAAATCAGTATTATAAGAGGATATAGTAATATTGGATGTTACAATCATCATATAATAACCTCAGTAAAACAGATCGTAACTTGGTTGTGAGTGATTGTAAAAGTTATTTTTTTTTTAGGTTCTCAATTGACAGCTGGAAAAAAATGGCGACAATGGATCTCCGAAGAACCGCGCTTTCGAGTATTTGGTTATGCCATAATTCGGAGTTTAAAATATTAAAGAAATCTGAATTAGTTTCACAGAAATTTGTTAAATTCCTCATTTATTTATCCTCTTCCTATACACAGAAGGTTCACTTTTTTTTTTAAATTGAACAATATTAACACGGGCGTCTCTAGAGGGGGTGTGGGGATGTGCCATTCCCATTATGAATCGTTAGTGTCTACAAAATCATCGTATTTTTGGTATAATTGTGTCCCTCGGCAAATTGTCGCGACGAAGAGCGCCACAATGTAAAAAGGCGACACAAAATGAAACATATAAACATAAAATAACGAAACAAACTTCTGGGCTACATGGTTACTATTATAATTTAATAGCTTTAATGATTTTTTTAGCCCATTCGATCCAAAGTTACTTTGTATTTTGCCCAATGACGTATTGCTGTATAAGACTGTGATTGTGTAACAACACCCCTTTCACTGAAATCGCACATTAAAGGCGTAAAATGTGCTTTGTATACGAACAGCGCTTTCTATAGGCCGATGTTGTCCTGCTCATGGAACAGCGGAACAGCGCCCTCTATTCCCCGATGGCATCTCCCTCCTTCCCCCACCCCCGCTTTTCGAACTTCCAAGCTGCTAGCCCCCCCCCCCCCAATGCTGGCAAGAAATGGCCGCCTGTCTGATTAGTATAATGTTATGAGGATCAGGACTATAGCTCTAACTTCTCATCACTTATTTACTTAAGTTTTAGCGTCATTTGACATGTCTTTTTTGCATTAGGAATACTGGGCGCCAAGCGTCCATGTTACCTTATATATTAAGGCATATTTTGGTGACGTCACATCATCCTGATAATGTGTTGGGAAACGAAATAAAAAGCCAGTTCCATTATATTAGGCAGCATGTTTGATATCATTATCCACATCTTTACTTTTGAAATTTTCCTCATCTATCATACATCTATCATCGGGCTCAGGTGTTTGTTTCCTGAAGAATGGAGGAAAGCTATCACCGACCTTGCTCTGTCCTTCCTACCTGATCTGCCGACAGTTTCTCCCGTATAACCGGGCACCAATCAGACACGAAACCTTCCCTTCCATTGTTGATGCCGTAAAGCCTCTAATGGACAATTGCCTTGCGGACCGCCATATTACAAAGGCGCTATGGGCGTACATCGAATCACTTTAAGTTACAAGTTAGGTACTCGGTCTTTATATTTCATTTGAAAAAAAAAAATCATCCAAAGCATTGATAAGCAAAGGAAAACCGTTCCAAATGACTTCCAAACCTTTTTTTTACACAAAAAAAGATGTAGAAAAATAATCACACCCGGTGGGATTCGAACTCATGATCACTGTGGATGCACCGTCCAGTACCCACTAGACTACAGCTAGTGACTCACAAAACTAAGTTGTTTTAAACATTAAATTATTGCATAATCGCTTAACCTCATTACAGCGCCCTCTAGCATAATTCTCTGTATGGTTACCAGTTAAGACTTCAAATAAGTGCATCTGGAGCCCCACAAGTGTTTTTTTTTTTGCGCGTTTCTATTATTTTCTGGCACCGAGTGATGCATAACATGAGAACAGGACATGTTGCTGGTTAAAATAATGCCATCAACTAAGTGACGCATCTAATGGGGAAATGACAAAATGTATAACATAATTTCAGTGCATATTATCTTACTGTGAGTGAAAAACGTCTACAAAAGACGTGTTCTATATTAGCATTGTTAATTCATGTATGTGATTTGATTGAGCTTTGAACTGCGAAAACAAAAATCAGTTTCGTTCATTTTCCAGCAAACTTTTCATTTGTAAATGCACATTGCCACCAGCAATTGCTATCACCCCTCTCGTCGGAATGGAAATTCCCACCCGATGCGGTGACCAGATATTCACATTATTTTGTCTCTTTCCGGACATATACACTCGATTCGCCGCAAGGAACCAAACATAACAACCAAACGCACAAAATTGCAGACATTCGACATAGTACTCAGTACTTTTGTGAAACGTCGTGGAAGAATATTCGAAAACGGATATTTTCTTGAAAGAAAGTGCGAGATCACTTTGGTATTAACAAGTTGTCGCTGTTAGGAATTCATGTGACGCTTTCAGATAATGTTAGGCGATTATTGATACGGATGCTTCTTCATATCAAGTAAGCTCATCTTTATTGTTCTCAGAGATGTACTTGGTGCAAGCATGTTTTGTATTAATTTTATTACTGCCAAGTTGCGACTGCCTGGCCCGGAGATGTGTATCTTACTCCAAGCCAGGGGATGTCGTCATTGGCGGATTGTTTCCTATCCATTACGTGGCCGGGCCGGGGCAGTGTACGGACCGTCAATCGCGATGGGGGACCATGCTCTCCGAAGCCATGATCTACGCCGTAGAACAGATCAACCGGCGGGAGGATGTCCTGCCGAATGTCACGCTGGGCTACGACATCAGGGATGATTGTCGTTCCGACGACGTAGCCCTGTGGCACGCCTTAGCGCTTGTCAACGCCTTGAATCCCAACGAGACGTCGGGGTTGTGTCAGGCACAGCACGGGGCCAAAGTCTTGGGCATCGTCGGTACGTCAGAAACCGATACAAGCATCGTAGTCACCAAGGCGGCCGCCATGTACAAAGTGCCACTGGTCTCCTATGCCGCCGCCGGTGACGAGTTGGGAGACAACTTCCGATTTCCATATTTCCTTCGAACTGTGCCGGAAAACTCTTTGCAGGTGGGTTCAATGTAGCATTCACTCAGGCTCTCACTAAACATAAGGAAATCAGATTAAAATGTATAGGATTGGCAAAATATCACGGGGGTCGGCCGGTAGGCCTGGGTAGGAGCTTGCACATAATAATAAATAGCCTGCGGTGTCCGACGCAGGTGACAGGAACAAATTATGCATAGAGGAAAGTCATCGACTACTATTTTGAGATGCTATAATCTCTTATACAATGGTTCCATTGTCTATTTAATACGATTTTAAACTAAAGGAAGATTTGCTTCTCTCTGTGTTATATCTTTTACGTAAAGCCATTTCTGTATGTTCTCTATGTAAATGCCCAATGTTCAATAACGAATAGACAAATTCCTAAATAACATCCACAGTTTTCTCTAATTAAATTGGATGTGAGTGGTCCCAGAATTCCTACCGTGGCGTTGCACCAAAAGCATAGTTTTTGTTCATCTTAGTAGCCTTTCTCTTGTGCCCTCCGCTTTTGTTTGAAACTGAGTACATGTACCACCTCCAGAAATCGGGGCCCTCCTGGTGCCCTCCTGGACATTGGACCGTAGTTTCGCAACTGTACACGTAAATTGGTCTTTTAAAATGTATATGCCCTTTAAAACATTCCGATCCAGAGACTTTATATCTTGAACCTAACTTTCACTGATGAAATTTGGCAAATGTTATTAGTCACTTAAATAAGCTGTACTGTCTCAGAATGAAAAGTGGTGGGCAGCCGTGTTAGTCAGGCAGAATTTAGCACGTTAAATGACTAACTTGAATGATAATTGTACACAGAACTCACACATCAACCCACTTTTGTGTGTGACAGGTTCGGGCAATGCTAGATATCATTTACACCCTTGGTTGGGTCTATGTGTCGCTGCTCCATTCTGTCGAGTCGGATTATCTTCTTAGTGCGCTCCGATTTCAAGAGATAGCAGCAGACTATAAGATCTGTGTGGCCTACTCAGCAGCCATCAGGACGACGGCAGATGACAAGGAAGTGAACCAAATCGTGGCCAACTTGGACCGGTACCCCAAGGCCAAAGTAGTGGTTGTCATTGGAGACAAATTCACCGGCCAGAAAGTCATGCGAGCCGGTCAGAAGGCCGGGATGGTTGGCCGGTACCAATGGATCGGTGGGTCTCGATGGGGTTACCTGATGAAAGAGGAGGGACTAGCTGATATCTCCGACGGAGCCATCTTCGTCAGAAGCTACAGTGTGCCCGTGGCGGGCTTTGAGGCATTTGCCCGGGCCAAAGAGCCATTCGAGCCCTACGTCTCCCCTTGGTATAAAGACTTGGCCGTGAATTGGATGCAGGACAACAACTGCATCAACATAACAGATTGCCCTCTGCACGTTGGTGACTCGGGAGCGCAGGTCGTCGACAGCGTGCACGCCATCGCGTTTGCCTTCCATAACGTGATGATGGAAAGCTGCGCCAATGTCAGCGATTGTCAAGTCGGTGATATCGCTACGGAGGAGGAGTTTCTGCAGAAACTCCTGGCTGTCAATTTCACCGCAGTAGACGGAGAAGCCGTCCATTTCGACAGCTCGGGCAACTCCGGTGGCAAGTTCAACGTCACAAACCTGAGGGAAGACAGCGGAGAGCACCAGGTCGGACTGTGGCATTCGGCTCCCAAGACGGTCGGCGAACGCCTGGAGATCAAGCAGGATAAGATTCGATTCCTCAACAAGAGCTGGAGTCGGCCCGCCTCGATCTGCGTCGAGGAGTGTAGAGCTGGGTATGTGGTTGTGCCGTTGGAAGACAAATGTTGCTGGGGATGTAAGGCGTGTTCACCGAATGAAATCGTGGTAAGTTAACACTACTTTACCAACAGGAGGTGCCAAACATTATATAACAGAACCCATACATTGAGATGACGTAGCCAGCTTTGTTTCATATTATAATTTAGTGGATGCGGCGAAAGCCATGCCGGTTCGATATTGGTGTATATCGCAATACCATCATCATCCAACATGGGTTTCAGTGTCGCAACAAATTAAAAGAAACAGAGGTTCGCATGTACTTAAGAGTGACTTAAGGCCAGACGGTTTGGTTGAAGGACTACATTAATATTGGTTTTTAACGAAAGTCATTTGTCACTTTTTTTTTTAAAGGACTGACGTTTTATGTGTGGCATATTGTGCTAAACTGGGTCTATTTGCTGAAACCTTGCTCTAAAACAAAACTAAAAGAAATCGGGTTAAGCCTATGACTACTCTGGTCAAATTGTGGTTGTGTTGACCACCAAAATGGTTAACGTTGCAGTGAGTATGGCACGCCAAAGCGGAATTTATTCAACCCTGCTCGGCAGCTGCCAACATTATAAAATACATCACAACCTTTTTTAAAAAGTATGTCAACATTGTAAAAAATATGTCAACATTTTAAAAAATATGTCAACATTGTAAACAATATGTCAACATTCCAAAAACTTATGTCAACATTTAAAAAATATTTGTCAACATTTCAAAAACGTATGTCAACATTTTAAAAATATATGTCAACATTTCAAAAATATATGTCAACATTTAAAAAAATATGTCAACATTTAAAAAAAAATTATGTCAACATTTTAAAAAAATATGTCAACATTGTAAACAATATGTCAACATTTCAAAAACGTATGTCAACATTTAAAAAATATATGTCAACATTTCAAAAACGTATGTCAACATTTAAAAAATATATGTCAACATTTAAAAAATATATGTCAACATTTTAAAACAATATGTCAACATTTAAAAAAAAAAAAATTGTTCTGATTAATTAACTAGAAATTACATGTCAACATTTGCCAAAACTACCTACTACTTGTTGACAAATATATGTGTCAACCCATCCTGCGACAAAGTTCACTTAAAATACATGTCAACATTTCGTCCAAGAATATGTGTCAACACTACCCGATGAAAAATATATGCCAACATTCACGTGACCGCCACGACGGAGTACATGCGCGAAGTATGCTGCGCTAGCACCCGGTGTCACGGTCTCACTTCTCCGGCGTGCTGGATTCTCCGGGTGAATGCAGCGGATAATTGAGCACGTTACAGTGCACGTTACATGAGCACGATACATGCTCATGTGTCCGCTGTGCTTACTTTTCCTCGGGCGGTGCTATGGAGTCTACCAAATCCACCCAAGAGGGTGCAGTGAACTAATTCAAGTGAAAATTTCTACGCGAGCTGATTAGCATAAAAAGTGACCCCACAGTTTCTTTTGAAAACGGAGACCGTTTGGCTTAAAAAAACGGTGGAATTGTGTAAATGTAGCCAAGGATCAACTCTCTGGTTTTGGGGCTTCCATCTGAGGGCAGGCTTGATAAAATTACGGTTGAAAAATGGGTCCGATTTGCCTGAGAAAGTGGAAGGATGCCACTTGTAAAACGGCTACATGCAGGCTTGGGAACTAGGACTTTTCGGGAGGTGATTTTGTACGGCGCTTCATGAGTGCCATCCACTTCTTTATTTACTCAGATAATTCATCACGTCATGTTGACATATCGCCGAGAGTAAGGCGATTTAATCACATAATTGTATCGCCCAGTCGACTTACCGAAGTCGACTTGTCCAAATGCATTATCTCTCCAAGTCGACTTCCAGAAGTCGACATGACGATTTTTCCAGAGGCATTATCTCATTTTCTCTCCAAGTCGTCTTCCATAAGTCGACATGACGACTTGTCCAGATGTATTATTTCGTCAAGTCGACTTTCCGAAGTCGAGATGACGACTTGTCCAGATGTATTATCTCGCCAAGTTGACTTCTCGAAGTCGAGATGACGACTTGTCCAGATGAAATATCTCGCTAAGTCGACTTCCTGAAGTCGAGATGACAACTTGTCGAGGTAGATTATCTTGCCAAGTCGACTTACGATGTGAAGATGATGACATGCAAAAATCTCGTTCTGCATGGATATCCCGTTTTTTGAAGCATTGTCGTGGATTCTTTCTTGTTCGTCGGTGCATTTGAGGTTTTCCCCACCCGTTCTTATATGAACAATAAACTGGCAGAGGAACAAGAGATAAACTGTAGGGTATTGATTTGATCTGGGTCGAAGTTGATTTGTGTTTTTTTATTTTCATCTTGTTTTAAATTACTCCCCCAAGCTTCGTAGGAAATCCCACCTCTGCCTTGTTTTCCCCTATTTATCCCGTTGAAAAGTAATTCACTTCACGTTAAACATTAACAATCATAAATTTAAAAAAATGTGTTTATTGACAGGTTACATAAAACTTGTTGCTTTCTTAAATGACACTAACAAATTCAAGATTTGCTTTTAATCATATTTAGATCATATTATGATAAAACGACTCTCATGGCTTAAATTGGTATATTGGAAATTTAGCAAAACTCTTGTCTGATATATTACGAGAAATGATTTGATAAAGATATCACTATAAACACTCTTATTGTCAACACTAAGTCAATGTTTTATATAGGACATTAGCTTATGATTAGCCTTAGCACACTAAAATCACACTGTGATCATCACATTATGATAAAGTTCTGTTCCTAGCAATATAGAAGTTGTTCACTTTTAAAATGAGGCATCGGCCTCAATATTACTGTGACGTTATTCTGATGTCATGAAGTATGAAATTACAAGCGATTTTAAATCACAAATTGACCTAAATCGTTAAGGCTGAGAAAATCCCTCGGGAAGAATGAAATTTTGTCACACATGTAATTCAAATTCCCAAGAACCTAAACAATTTCCCTATTAATAAGTTAATGATACTTTCCTCATTGACGAAAGACACCAGGTGGAAAACGCTAAAAGAGAGTACTTTTTTGTTCATAGGTATTAACAGTCAGTGGCTTGAGGTTTAACCTAATTCCGGTGGGTGGGTGGGGTGGGGCACATGGGTGCACACAATTTTTAATGGGGCACTGAAGGCAAATGACAGTTTTTTGTTCATTTCAAGATTTTAAACGGGGAGCGCCGGGCGGGGGGGGGGGGGGGGGGGTATGGCACGGACATTTGTTGTGGGGGGGGGGCACAACCCAGTTACGCCACTGATAGTACCGGTATGTTTTACCTTTTTTTCAAGAAATGAAAAAGAATTATAACTGTAAATATATGTCAGCATGTTTTTTAATATCCTTCCTTTATCACCATGCAAACGCCGGTCATATTTTACAGCATAACCGGCTAATTCGACAATATTATACTTTTATCACACCTGCCTGTAAGTTGCGCAAAAGGAACGTTTTCCATTTGGAATGTTGTTGTCAGTCTCTCTTTTTGGAAAAGCCGAATATATTGGTTAATAGGACATGAAGCAAACCGCCATGCGAGTGGTCGGTCGGTTTCAGAGTACAGGTTACTGATGAGGCTACCGTGTATGCGGTGCTCAACCGATACCGATTCGCAAGGCTTTCTGCCGGCTTCTCCTTGCAGGGGAGTCAAAAAAGAAAATGATGAATTTGAAAATATTAAAAAATATTCGGCTTGCTCAATTTTATTATGAAAAAATGATAAAGTACATCTTATTGACTTTTAACTGTGAAAATTTCATGTCATTTGCATACTTTATTCCCGCGTTATGTCTAAAACAAGATAAGTTTGCGGTAGCACCATGTGAATAAATCTCTTTTGTATGTGTGGTTCTGAAAAGAACCGAGTGACTCAACGTTTCGAACAGTATGCTCTGCCCGTCGTCAAGAGAATGTTATTCACATGGTGCTACCGCAAACTTTTCTTGTATTACTCTTAGTATCAGTGTTGTAGGTCTCGAGACCGGTCTCGGTCTCGGTCTCGGTCTCGAGACCACTTTTTGCCGGTCTCGGTCTCGGTCTCGGTCTCGGGAGCTGTGGTCTCGGTCTTGGTCTCGGTCTCGGTCCCCTTTGGTCTCGATATTTTGGCTGGTCTCGAGTCGAGACCAGCCAAAAAGTTAGGGGGCGGATTCCGCCCCCGGCCCTTTTAGGGTTAAGTAAAGAATCAGTTTAGGGCAAATGTGACTGCAGTGTGATGCTAATGGACATGTCTCTCATCACTTCCTAGTGAGTGAGGCATAGTCCAGTAACCATTGCTCCTCTTCTTATTTCTCGTTTTTATTGTGGGACGATCTGTTGAAACAAGCACTTTATAGCCATCCTCATTGATTCCAAATACAACTGAGATTTAAATCTTATGAATCAAGACTGAAACATTATTTTTACCGTCAGATTTTGTATTTTGAATATGGGGAACAAATTCAACTCTTTTCCCCTAGAAATATTGGTGATTTTTTTCTATTTTCCTTTTCAATTTTTCCTTTATTCGTGGAGGCGGGAAAACGTTGTTTTTTTTCATTATATTTATTAATGGATATTCATCAATTCGTAGACCGTTAAATTGGTATTAGTGGTGGACAGCTGAATTTTGTGATCTCTTTATTAAAATAGACACGACTTGAAAATAGAGTATGCAAATTACGTGAAATGTTCACAGTTACTACTCAATAACATGTTCTTTATCCCAATTGTATTTTTTTACAAAATGGAGCGTGCCATTTTTTTTTTTTATACAGTCACTTTTTTTTGACTCGCCATGTATTCATCTTTTCATCTGTGATAAACACAAATTGAGCTACTGCCATAGTCACACAAAAATAGAGTCTAACTGCCTGCCTCGTCTCCTTCCTAAATGTCAATTGCATTTGCATGAGTCGAGAAGAATTGTGTTCCATTAATCGCTATATGCTGTTTACGGCCATCACAATAAACTATTAATATATTGGCAATATGTCGTACTTGTTAATCACTAAAATATTCAAGTAAATCGCCCGGCAAAGTAGCCGATGCAGGCGATACGCTGACACGGTTCAAAACACGGAGAGGCGTGCGCACTGAGCCATGAATCCCAAAAGTACATCTCGCCCACCACATTCAGTTTGTGACAGCGCCCTTCTATTGTGTCGGCCATATTCTCAAATAGGCTAATGGTGATGATGACGGCGGGCTGAATAACAGAAGATAGATCAGGCAAATATGGTTCATCAATCTTCTATAGTATATGTAACGTTATTGACATTAAACAAAAATAAAGTGGCATTACATTTCAGCCTTAGCCAGGCCTTCTTCAGAGGTAAATGACAGATGAACAAGAAACAAACATGTAGGGGACACACAAACATGCAGGGTTGGAAGGAGAATCACAAAGAGGGATGTGGGGGGGAGGGGGGCAGACCAATCCATATCTGGCCACCATCTCTCATTTTTTTTGTCTACATGTACAAATCTATATTCCATGACTGAAATAAATCAATATTTTCTTGCTCCAATTTTTTTTCGAATCAGGTTTACAAGGAGGTCCAATGTAAAATTAAAGTTGCATTTAAATATCCGTTAGTGGTCATTGCTGAAACCAAGGAGTGGCTGTGGAGTTTAGGGTCCGAGTTCCCATAACAGATGAAACATCCACCTTTAACTTTTTTACTTTTGTCAAGTTTCAACATGTTCAAGTTTTGCAAAAACTAGTACAAATTGTCGTACTCTTAAGTTAGAGTTTCTTCATCAGATTTACACTTTATAGTAGTTAAACAATAATTGTAAAAAAAACAAAAAATTAAAGTGGCAAAAATATATGGAGTTCATCAAATAAGGTTTTCCCCTTCTTTAAATTAGGTTGCTTCCAATTTTTTTAATTGATTGTGACAAAAACAAATTCTGTTGCCATGTTGTAATTAATGGCATGAAGCAAACACGAAGAGCACTCGCATGACACAATTAAGCAGGTACAAGTGATTCCTAACTTTCAATCACTTCCTTCACATCCCCATGAACATCAACATCTCAAGGACAGACTGTTCAGCTGTAATTAGTGTCTTGTTGTTTATTTAGATTATTGTTATTTATTATCCGCGGTCTCGGTCTCGGTCTCGGTCTCGGACCATTTCGGTCTCGGTCTCGGTCCGCCTTGAGGGGCTGGTCTCGGTCTCGGTCTCGGTCTCGCAACTTCAGGTCTCGGTCTTGGTCTCGGTCTCGGACTATCCGGTCTCGACTACAACACTGCCCCTAAGGGAATTTTTGGAACCAGACTAAAGCTGCTGCAACCTCATTCCGCCGAGAGCTGGAGGTAATCGAACTCGTTGGTCCGTGAATCTTGATATAGCTTGTATTCATAGATTTTTTTAAAATGTTGACATAATTTTTGTTTAATGTTGACATATTTTTTTAAAATGTTGACATATATTTTTGAAATGTTGACATATATTTTTTAAATGTTGACATACGTTTTTGAAATGTTGACATATTGTTAACAATGTTGACATATTTTAAAAAATATTGACATAATTTTTTTTTAAATGTTGACATATTTTAAAAAAATGTTGACATATATTTTTTAAATGTTGACATAAGTTTTTGAAATGTTGACATATATTTTTTTAAATGTTGACATATATTTTTTAAATGTTGACATATTGTTTACAATGTTGACATATTTTTTAAAATGTTGACATATTTTTTTTTAAATTTTGACATATTTTTAAAAAATGTTTACATATATTTTTTAAATGTTGACATAAGTTTTTAAAATGTTGACATATATTTTTTAAAATGCTGACATATATTTTTTAAATGTTGACATACGTTTTTGAAATGTTGACATATTGTTTACAATGTTGACATACTTTTTTAAAATGTTGACATATTGTTTACAATGTTGACATACTTTTTAAAAATGTTGACATATATTTTACAATGTTGACATACTTTTCAAAAAAGTTGTGATGTATTTCATCATGTTGGCAGTTGCCGTGCAGGGTAGAATAAATTCCGCTTTGGCGTGCCATAAGTGAGCTGTGCTGTCTTCAATGTTACATGTAAGGGATTCTTGTTTTTTTTCTGCAATCACCCAAGACAGGAGACAGGAAGGATGCTCATTTCAGTGCATAATATTGTACGATTGCTCATTTTTGTGTCTCTGTCAATTCGTAGTTATAGCTGACTGGTTGCCCATGCCCGACTTGGTAGCTCGTGCTTTCGATTCTCTGTCGAACAGGTCAATCACACACAGTGCTACCGGTGTCCAACCAAGGAGAGGCCGGACGCCAACCGGACCTATTGCCTGCCCATCATTCCCTCCACCATCAGCTGGACGGAGACGCCGGTCCTGATCATCCTGGTGCTGTCCGGGTTTGGAATCGTCCTGTGCTCGCTGACCATCACTGGCCTGTTCGTGTACGGAAAGCACCCTCTGATCAAGGCCAGTAGTCGGGAGCTGTCTAGCATTAACGTGGCTGGTCTCACCCTGACGTTCCTGACCTGCGTGGTGCTGCTGGTAAAGCCCACCCGTGCTTCTTGCATTACTGTGGAACTTGTGCTTGCTCTGTGCAGCACGCTGATCTACGCGCCCACCTTGCTGAAGGTAAAACAGTGTTTTGAATTAGAATCAGTTTTGAAAGACACTTTATACCAAGTTTTAACCACACCCTTAGTGCACGAAATGTTCAGAGGTGTGATTTCTGATACATGTTGAAACAAAGCGCAGATTTCCGTAATTGGATTTTTAAAAAATAATCAACCATGACGGTTCTTTTCTGCGCGTTTTCGACCCAGATGACCATTTTTTTCTTCAAATTTGACCAAACCAAAACTAAACCTAACCAAAATCGATCCTGGCCAATCTCCCCGTTAATGTGAACTAAATCCGGTATCAAGGACAGTATCACTACCATGTCACCCATTCCATCTGCTTGGTTTTGGCCAACTGGACGAGAGATAAAAAAAGTATCCTTGCTTTGAATTAATAGCTGTTAATTAATCACTTAATGCCCGCTTGCAGGTGATTCGGATCTTTCGCATCTTTCGAAAAGCCCGCAAGTCGACCCAGAGGCCCAAGTTCATCAGCCCTAAGCATCAAGTCATCGCTTGTCTGACTCTCCTCGCAATCCAGGTACGTTCCTTGCTTTCAGAATCTTCTCCGTTTTGACCTTATCATGACCGTAAACTGAGTTTGTGCATGACCACTGACACACCCTTGTAAACTTACCACCATGTTGCTGTACAGGGCAAATGCACAGGGTAATAATGGATTCGTGAAAATATATTGAACATTGCCAGATTGGTTTTGTCTTCAAGGATGGTTTATATGCTTCCATTATTACCTTACTCTGCAGTCACGGAGGACTGATCACTGTTCACTGAAAAATTGCCCGGGTTAATTTTACCCAAGCAAGGGTGAAAACTGCAACTACCCAAAATTGGGTTGTCCTTTACCCAATATTGTTAAGGTTAGAAATTTTGTTAAATTCAACCAAAACTTGCAGTCATACCAGACTAAATCTAATTTGGTCAAGTTTGGTCAAGCACAAACCAATCTTGGGTAGTTGCTTTTTTCACCCTTGGTAGGGCAAAATTAACCCAGGCAATTTTTCAGTGTTGGTTTACAAACAGAAGAATAAGAAACCCTTTTTGTGCTAAGTTGGGCTGATTTAGTGGTGCATGAGCTGGCAAAAAAGTGCGCATTTCAGCTGTGTGAATTGTGTGGGTATTCGCTTTCAACACAGCTCATCTCACTGACTGCTCAGAATTAGACGACTTGGCAAAAGATGGTTTTTACCTTCTGTTTCCAAATCAATGATATTTTGTAATCAACCATGCCTTCAGGGGTGCAGGTGAGGTATCAATGGAAAGCTGTTAAACCACGCTTTCACGTCAAACCACATTGGTAGTGTTCCAGTTTATAAATTTAACATACTAATCCATGAGCTTCGGATTGCCTTTTTTGATATACCCAGTTCAGCAGACTGCAGCATTCACAATAAGCAACTACGCTACTCATGCATAATGTTTGTCCAGTAACCAAAACCGAAAATGCTCTTTTGCATGGTCACATGAAAACTACGCTGGGCACGGGTTTGTTAACTTGACCCACTCTCGACGCTTAAAATACGTTTACCTTCCCCCTCCTGTGTATCTCAACAATACTGCTGACAATCTCACGGCCTGGAATCTGCGATGAATTCTCTAATTTGTAATTGTGGGACGTAATTGCATACTGAGATCTATTTTTGCAGATTTTTCAAAATTCAATACGGACGAATTTTAAGTTTAGTATCCAGGCTGAGCCATCCAGTGCTAAGCCACTGTAGGACCAACCTCGTCCCTAGTACTCACTTTATTTCCAACCTAGTTTCCAATAGTAAGCCCTGGATAGGAAACCTTCTTCCTGAATCCTGATTCGTTACCGCAATTGGCTAGTAATGGATTTTTATCGTTCACTTGGTGCTATTATTCACAACGTGCAGTACGTGTTTTCGCGATCATTCGTCCACGCCTTCTCGAAAATCCTAATTTCCTTTCCAAATTGCTCATCTCAATATGAAATGTGATACTGCATGTTGTCTCGATATAAGATCGTAACTGTTTAATTCAAAAAATCGTGTTTTCGTAACTTACGCCGTGCTCGCGCTGCGACGAATTGACTCTGTTTTTTTTTTTTTACCCCAGACATCGCATACAAAAACAAACGCTAATGTAACGCATATCCAGGCACCAGACTGTTCCTCATTTGCATACGTGTTCAAAAATCTTGCACATGCAAATGATCCAATACCAGGGTGAGAGAGCAGGTAGTGATGGGCGCGTACTGTTCGACACCCTGGGGACGAGGTTGCTGTAGGACATCTTCATATTACAAGTCACAAAAATGGCTGGAAAAGCCTTTCGCACCTTACCGCCGATAGGACGCTACTCGTAACTTAGCTTATGTTTTTGTTTCGCTGGAAACTTGGAACTAGTAATAGGCCTATACCGTGTCGTCGTGACTATACGGTTTATGCCTCTGCAATGAAAATAGTATTATTATATTAACGTGATATGAAAATAACGACCAAAAACAGTAACTTGAATGAAGTGAATTGTAGTGAACATGAACATGAGTAAACACGATTTCACATAAGCAGATAATTTAAGTTATAAACACCCAACATTGAGGCAACATCAGTATTATTGGTTATAACTTGGGAAATGGAGTATAAGACCGGAAACAAAACGAGAGAAAAAATCACCTCAGACATAATTATTTGCCGAGCTACAAAAGATTAATAATGCTCTTGTTCAGAAGACAATCCCTCACACGACACTCGTTACCTTGATGATTGTATCGAAGGGAATGATGACTTAAGAGCAAACATCAGTCAAAACAGATCGCGTTATAGTTATGCATTAACTGGAAAAGACACGACAGTTCCCACCTTGTCTCCTCCAAAACTGTGTCAGGTGTGACATAGAGTGTAAATCTGAGAGGGGGGAAAAAGATTGGCTGCAGACCGTAGCGACTATACTGAGCGACCATGGGAGACGGACAGTTTTCGTAGCAACGCTGACTGCAACTATAGACACTGTCAAGGGGGAGAGCCAGTGATGGAACGACTTTACGCCATGCAGGAATAGCGTTATTATGGAAGAGGAGCACTGTGTGGAGAGGCAATTGCACATCTCCTCGGTAGGGGACACTCAAAAACGTTGGACAAATGGGGTTTTTTTTGGGCCAAATGTTGGTGAACATACCAACAGTGTACACATTTGGGCAAATTTTCCCAAAAAAGTGATGTCATTACCCGAATCAACTTTTAATTAAATCAATTTCATGCAAATTCTGGGCACATAACATTGTCTGCTATAGTGTTTAAAGCTATAGTCCATCATTTGCAGCCATCCGAAAAGTAACTGGCGTAATTGTTGTTGAAAAACAAACTTGGTTGAAAGATAGTAAGGGAACTAAACTCCCTGTGAAATTATTCTTTCTGGGAAGCTGTCATTTTGAAGTAATCAACGAAAGACGGCCTTTCGAGACACTGGGGAGGGAAACTTGCTTCCTGTAATCTGATTCGATCCCGCAGTACCAAGTAATCAATTGGCCTTATTCACGAGTCGGCCATATTGGATTGAGAGTGAGGTAAAATCTTGATATTTTGAACTTGTGTAGAGAAATGAAAGCAAGTTAATTACTATTCATAAATACCTCAGACAGTTTAGCTATTCCTATTGGTCGAGAGCCCGTCACGTGGCCGGTCTTAAACGGATGATAAAGACATGGCTAGCTGGTCTTAAACACTTTTCCAGTGTCACAATAAAATGTGGACTCCTAAAAATCCAGTGCCTCTTACCGTTTCATTGGTTGAACGTTCACAATCCTCACGTAGGCATGCGCAACACTACAAGCGAGTCAGAATTGTATAGTTCTAAATTCAAAACGCAACGCCCCAGGTGCGTTCTGCGTGACATCGCGCAGAACATGTTACGCGCGCGCCAATCTCCATAAAAGGGTTGTTTACATCTTACTCGCCAGCTGAACACTCCATTATTTTGCTAGAGGGATGTTTCAAAAAGCATGAAGTGAACTTGTTGAACAAAATCGGGATTTTTTGAACGAATTATTTGATATTTTTTTACGGATAAGGTATTTATGAATGGGAATAAATATGTGCTCGGTCGGTATTTATCACTCTGTTTAATACCGCTTAGAGTCTGGGTGCGAATAATTACCCTCGCCTCCGGCTCGGGTAATTATCAGCACCCAGACTCTAAGCGGTATTAAACGAGTGATAAAAACCTCCGGAGCACACATTTATTCCCTTAATTAATTCCAGTCTGCTTTACTTAATAATTTTAAATTTGTAATTAAACGTTCCCTAATGTTTAGAGCCAGATTTAAAAAAAAATTACAATAAAATAAGGCAGCATTGTGCCTGCATCAGTGTTGTAGTCGAGACCGGATAGTCCGAGACCGAGACCAAGACCGAGACCTGAAGTTGCGAGACCGAGACCGAGACCGAGACCAGCCCCTTCAAGGCGGACCGAGACCGAGACCGAAATGGTCCGAGACCGAGACCGAGACCGAGACCGCGGATAATAAATAACAATAATCTAAATAAACAACAAGACACTAATTACAGCTGAACAGTCTGTCCTTGAGATGTTGATGTTCATGGGGATGTGAAGGAAGTGATTGAAAGTTAGGAATCACTTGTACCTGCTTAATTGTGTCATGCGCGTGCTCTTCGTGTTTGCTTCATGCCATTAATTACAACATGGCAACAGAATTTGTTTTTGTCACAATCAATTAAAAAAATTGGAAGCAACCTAATTTAAAGAAGGGGAAAACCTTATTTGATGAACTCCATATATTTTTGCCACTTTAATTTTTTGTTTTTTTTACAATTATTGTTTAACTACTATAAAGTGTAAATCTGATGAAGAAACTCTAACTTAAGAGTACGACAATTTGTACTAGTTTTTGCAAAACTTGAACATGTTGAAACTTGACAAAAGTAAAAAAGTTAAAGGTGGATGTTTCATCTGTTATGGGAACTCGGACCCTAAACTCCACAGCCCCTCCTTGGTTTCAGCAATGACCACTAACGGATATTTAAATGCAACTTTAATTTTACATTGGACCTCCTTGTAAACCTGATTCGAAAAAAATTTGGAGCAAGAAAATATTGATTTATTTCAGTCATGGAATATAGATTTGTACATGTAGACAAAAAAAATGAGAGATGGTGGCCAGATATGGATTGGTCTGCCCCCCTCCCCCCCCCACATCCCTCTTTGTGATTCTCCTTCCAACCCTGCATGTTTGTGTGTCCCCTACATGTTTGTTTCTTGTTCATCTGTCATTTACCTCTGAAGAAGGCCTGGCTAAGGCTGAAATGTAATGCCACTTTATTTTTGTTTAATGTCAATAACGTTACATATACTATAGAAGATTGATGAACCATATTTGCCTGATCTATCTTCTGTTATTCAGCCCGCCGTCATCATCACCATTAGCCTATTTGAGAATATGGCCGACACAATAGAAGGGCGCTGTCACAAACTGAATGTGGTGGGCGAGATGTACTTTTGGGATTCATGGCTCAGTGTGCACGCCTCTCCGTGTTTTGAACCGTGCCAGCGTATCGCCTGCATCGGCTACTTTGCCGGGCGATTTACTTGAATATTTTAGTGATTAACAAGTACGACATATTGCCAATATATTAATAGTTTATTGTGATGGCCGTAAACAGCATATAGCGATTAATGGAACACAATTCTTCTCGACTCATGCAAATGCAATTGACATTTAGGAAGGAGACGAGGCAGGCAGTTAGACTCTATTTTTGTGTGACTATGGCAGTAGCTCAATTTGTGTTTATCACAGATGAAAAGATGAATACATGGCGAGTCAAAAAAAAGTGACTGTATGAAAAAAAAAAAATGGCACGCTCCATTTTGTAAAAAAATACAATTGGGATAAAGAACATGTTATTGAGTAGTAACTGTGAACATTTCACGTAATTTGCATACTCTATTTTCAAGTCGTGTCTATTTTAATAAAGAGATCACAAAATTCAGCTGTCCACCACTAATACCAATTTAACGGTCTACGAATTGATGAATATCCATTAATAAATATAATGAAAAAAAAACAATGTTTTCCCGCCTCCACGAATAAAGGAAAAATTGAAAAGGAAAATAGAAAAAAATCACCAATATTTCTAGGGGAAAAGAGTTGAATTGTTCCCCATATTCAAAATACAAAATCTGACGGTAAAAATAATGTTTCAGTCTTGATTCATAAGATTTAAATCTCAGTTGTATTTGGAATCAATGAGGATGGCTATAAAGTGCTTGTTTCAACAGATCGTCCCACAATAAAAACGAGAAATAAGAAGAGGAGCAATGGTTATTGGACTATGCCTCACTCACTAGGAAGTGATGAGAGACATGTCCATTAGCATCACACTTGCCCTAAACTGATTCTTTACTTAACCCTAAAAGGGCCGGGGGCGGAATCCGCCCCCTAACTTTTTGGCTGGTCTCGACTCGAGACCAGCCAAAATATCGAGACCAAAGGGGACCGAGACCGAGACCAAGACCGAGACCACAGCTCCCGAGACCGAGACCGAGACCGAGACCGGCAAAAAGTGGTCTCGAGACCGAGACCGAGACCGAGACCGGTCTCGAGACCTACAACACTGGCCTGCATAAATAGTCTGGCGCCATCCCATTCAACAAATAACAATTAATGAAATACTTTCAGGGGACTTGACAAAAATGGCAAACTTGTGAATAAGGCCCATTTATAAGGTATACATGGGTATTCTCTAACGTCCAATGGTTGGGTAAGATTACAACATGACAACTTTGGAAACAGATCGTGTATTTTCCGATCTAACGCTAAGACTGACAGATTGATTCGGTCTGCACCCTGGACACCGCATGCAAAAGACAAACACTGATTGAAAGCAAATGATAACGTATCAAATGATAACGTGCAAGATTTTAAACGTGCAAATGATCCAGTACCAGTGTGAAAGAGCACCTAGTGGGACCGAACTGCTCGATGTCATAGGGACGAGGTTGAGTACTTCGGGAATCGATGAACCCGGCGCGGCGGGGGAAAAAACACGCACGACTTAACAAATTCTAATGTTCATATTCTTAACATAACACATGTAGGCCTATGTTAAGAATATGGACTTAATGTGTTTAAGCCATGCGTGGATATTCTTCTTATGTTGGCCCTGGTCCAATTCGGAGATTGTGGGTAGTGTAATATGCCCTCTATAGTAAACCGTGGTTTGGGGCCCTTGTTTTGATATCAATAGTACTAGGTCATCCGTGATGGTAGAGATGCAAATACGGTATTAATGGAAAGCTGCGTGAACCACCCTTTGAGATGAACCACGTTGAAGTTATTCAAGTTCATAGTGAGAGGAACGCCTAATTGTCATTCTTTCAATTGCTACACACAGGTGATGTTGTCCATTCTGTCGGCTATCCTGGCGCCATCCACACCCGTCGAGTTGATCAGTCAAGTTGGGGAACTGTACCTGGAACTCTTCTGCTCCTTCGGGCCTGGCTTCATCGCCTCCTGTGCCTACAACCTCCTCCTGATCCTAGCCTGTTGCTTCTTCGCCTTTAAGGCCCGCAAGGTGCCCAGCAACTACAACGAGTCCAAGTTCATCGCGGTCAGCGTCTATTCCACCCTGGTGCTGTGCCTGGCCGCGGTGCCCGTCTACGCCACGGCCGTGGCCGCGCTGCACAAGGTGGCCACCGTCTGCTACGCGGTCATTCTCAACGCCTACCTGACCCTGGTCTGCCTCTACCTGCCCAAGTTCTACGCCGTAAAGTTCGTGGGGAGCGATGACACGACTACCAGCGACTGGAGAGGCACCGGTGCTTTTGGCAGGACGGTTATGTCATCCAACAAAATCGCACCGTCCACATCGGGAACCAACGACCCCACGGCGTGAAACAAAGGAGGGAGCGAAATAGCACGGTGAAAATGGAACAAAACATTTTGTTATACCTCGGTAATAGATCGTGATGTTTTATTGGTCGAGAACCGAGCATGTGATGTGCCACAAACACGTATGTATCATGTCAGGGTACACCCCGTGGTACATAAGTGATGCATCCCACGGGGTACATTACCTTGATCGTCCCCACTGTTGAATGTCCCCACTGGTGAACTGTTCAAGTGTTGTATCGCCTTGTAATAATAGAAATAGACCGGGTTAGAGGCTTCAGACAGCGTGCACACGCGCGTACACATGTCGGATGGACGCGCGTGCATAGAACATGGTCGCAGCTGTGATTGGCTCGTAACGGGGCAGGGGGTGATGGATTATTCTATTTAGTAAAAAGGTAAATAAATTTGTGTTTCTGTGCAGTGAAAAAATGTGCGAATATTCATAGTGCAGTAATCACGGATCTTTTCAAAATAGTACTTCCGCTATTACTACACGGCAACTGGAGGAAATCCACAATTTCAGACGCTTGGAATCTATTACCATGGTATAACAAAACATTGTTTTCGCCTCGGTGCCATTTGCACCCTCGGGTGTACAAAACACGATGGACCCCATCACAACAGGCAACAATTGTATAATGATTTGTGATTTAAATTAGTTGATTTCATGAAAAGTTGTAGTCTATTTACTACTTACTACATATTATCACATCCATCTCATATTATAACTCAACTAATAGTCTTTCATTTGTGATATATATGTATATATAATATCTGTCTACGTTGTCTTCATAGCATATGCGATTATGCATTTTAAAAATGTCTGCCTTACAATGTGTCACGGTTCACATTGTAGATAAAAGCTCACTATTACAGTTTTTGATTTAAATGAACAACTTTTAACTTCAATCTTGAATTATGTAATTTTTTTCTGGGCCTTAAAACAATTAAATGAGAAGAAAAACACAACGGTCTAACAATTCAAATAAACAGCTACCTCCACCTCGACATCCGTTGTGACTTCACACAGACACTAGATTTGCTATAGGTAGGGCCTATGTCTATGTATTTCATAAACAGAATATACGAAAATTACAAGAGCTCGGGACAGGAGCAGCGATTTCTTGTCAATATTGGAGGACGGGGGACCAGTCAATAATACAAGGGAGGAGGGGGACTAAAGGGTGGGGAGCTTGACTCCATCTGACTCAAGGGGTGCTGTTCAAACATTTGTTTGAAATCTGTACGCACAGGTATAAGTTATTGGGAGAACATCACCATTGGCGTCCCTGAACAAATATCAATCGGGGGGCCAGGGGGGACATGTCCCCTCCCCATCCTTCCCCACCATCGCCGCCCATGGCTCGAGGAGTATATTTACCACTACGAGTAAACATGATAATAGTGACAACCTGAAGCAAAAAGATACAGCAGAACTTGTAATAATTACCTTATCCTGGGACAAGACAACACAGACAAGAAACCTCGGAACCGCCCTATCCAAGGGAGCTGGTGATCTGTAGGTTCAGTTCATGTAGGATTGGCAATGCTTTGCATTTCCTTCTCAAGGTTTGCCAAAGGGAGGTCGCGGTCGCCAACCTCCTTGAATATAGGGCGGTGGCGATGAGCGAAGACACGGGACTGATGTACAGTACGGACGAGGACGGATTAGACAATATAGGCTCTAATGGATTTAAAATGGCTTTCAACGCGGTAATGGACATAATGTTGTTTCCGAGAGCAAGAGAGAGAGAAAAAGGCACTTAGTGATATTTGCTATTTGTATTTTCCTCCCTTTCTACACAACAGGAAACCAGTGATATGTAGTTTTACGCCATGTTTAGTCTGGAGAACCGTTTTCTACATTTGAATTCACATCAACAGCATCCAGAATCAACAACAAATCGGATGGAAACTCAGTGCGCCCCCCCCCCCAAATCCATTAAATTCACCTTTCAAGTTATTGGTCTTTTTGAGCTCTAGCAGGAGCTTAAACATGGTGGTCGGTCGGTCGGTCTGTCTGTCCCCGAAGATTGACCAATTAATGGACCAAAATAAGCTCCCTAAGTTGACCAAAAATAATTGACTAATGAAATGCCATGCCGTCGTCATAATACACTTTTGCTCACGGTTTTCGGAACACCGATTTTGTTTCAATTAATGCGCATGCGCGTTTATTTTGCATATGTCTGCCCCCGAAAATTGACCAAAATAAGCCCCCTAACTTTCCCATATAATATAACTTCCAAATTTCAATTTTCAAAAAAAAAAGCACACAAAATAATTTTAAATACTTAACAAAAACTGTTTGTAACAATTCGGAAAGATGTTTATGAAAAGATTGTAAATGGAGGCGAAATATGTGCAGTGATGTTATAGTCACTTGTTATTTATCACAAATTGCTATCCGGTTCGTTGGTGACTTCGTTATACACGCGCCCGCACCAAGCGCCCATTTGCTAAAAAGTTGCGTTAACCTTCGGTTCCATTCGTGCTATGCTACACCGTGTGAAGCACGCATGGTTAAGTTGAGATGACGTCACACTAACGAACCGGAAAAATCTAGGTATAAATATAAAGTACGGTGTTCAAAATGTGCCATCGGCGTCGCATTTTTCGGCGTCGCATTTTTCGGCGTCGCATTTTTCAGCTCTGGCAGGGATCATTTTGATATATTTCATGCAAGACTTTGATGCAAGACGGCCAGAGCTTATTGTGCACTCGCACTTGTTTAATTACTAGGACTTTGCGTTAAGTATAGCAACACATTTTGAGGTGGTTTTTCCAAACATTATTTTGGAAAAGCCAGAGCCAGAGGGCGCCGAACCTGTAGCCTTCAAGGCGTGTCACGGAATCACGCATGCGCCCGCTCCGTTTGAAATCTGTGCGAGTCCGCGAGATAATTAGCAGCGTTTGTATTTGTAAGAAATTTTGCCTATTTAGAAAGAAAGCTCCGTTGGGGTTTTAAAATGTTTAACCTGAACGAGCTAAAGCAAGGACCAAAAGCAAGAAAGAAGCGTATTGAAATAAGTATTATAAGAGGATATAGTAATATTGGATGTTACAATCATCATATAATAACCTCAGTAAAACAGATCGTAACTTTGTTGGTTGTTAGTGATTGTAAAAGTTATTTTTTTGAGGTTCTCAATTGACAGTTGGAAAAAATGGCGTCAATGGATCTCCGAAGAACCGCACTTTCGAGTATTTGGTTATGCCATTATGCGGAGTTTATATTATTAAAGAAATCTGCATGAATTTCACAGAAATTTGTTAAAGTCCTGCTGTATAAGGTTGTGATTGTGCAACACCCTTTTCACTGAAATCTCACGTTAAAGGCGTAAAATGTGCTTTGTATACGAACAGCGCCTTCTATAGTCCGATGTTGTCCTGCTCATTGAACAGCGGAACAGCGCCCTCTATTCCCCGATGGCGTCTCCCTCCTTCCCCCGTACCCCCGCTTTTCGAACTTCCAAGCTGCTAGCCCCTCCCCCCCCCCCCCCCAATGCTGGCAAGAAATTGCCTCCTGTCTGATTAGTATAGTGTTACGAGGATCAGCACTATAGCTCTTACTTCTCATCACTTATGTACTTAAGTTTTAGCGTCATTTGACATGCCTTTTTCGCATAAGGAATACTGGGCGCCAAGTGTCTATGTTACCTTATATATAAGGGCATATTGAGGTGACGTCACATCATCCTGATAATGTGTTGGGAAACGAAATAAAAAGCCAGTTCCATCATATAAATTGGGCAGCCTGTTTGATATCATTATCCACATCGTTACTTTTGAAATTTTCCTCATCTATCAACTATCATCGGGCTCAGGTGTTTGTTTCCTGAAGAATGGATGAAAGCTATCACCGACCTTGCTCTGTCCTTCCTACCTGATCTGCCGACAGTTGCTCCCGTATAACCGGGCACCAATCAGAAACGAAACCTTCCCTTCCATTGTTGATGCCGTAAAGCCTCTAATCTACAATTGCCTTGCGGACCGCCATATTACACAGGCGCTATGGGCGTACATCGAATCACTTTGAGTTGCAAGTTAGGTTCTCGGACAATATTTTTTTCTTAAAAAAAACTTCCAAAGCATAAATTAGCAAAATAAAAATGTTCCAAATGACTATAAAAACCTTTTTAACACAAACAAAATGTAGAAAAATAATCACACCCGGTGGGATTCGAACTCATGATCACTATGGATGCACCGTCCAGTACCCACTAGACTACAGCTAGTGACTCGCAAAACTAAGTTGTTTTAAACATTAAATTATTGCATAATCCCGTTACCTCATTACAGCGCCCTCTAGCATAATTCTCTGTATGGTTACCAGTTAAGACTCAAATAAGTGCATCTGGAGCCCCACAAGTGTTTTATTTTTGCGCGTTTCTATTATTTTCTGGCACGGAGTGATGCATAACATGAGAACAGGACATGTTGCTGGTTAAAATAATGCCATTCAACTAAGTGACGTATCTAATGACAAAATGACAAAATGTATAACATAATTTCATTGCATATTATCTTACTGTGAGTGAAAAACGTCAACAAAAGACGTGTTCTATTTTAGCATTGTTAATTCATGTATGTGATTTGATTGAGCTTTGAACTGCGAAAACAAAAATCAGTTTCGTTCATTTTCCAACAAACTTTTCATTTGTAAATGCACATTGCCACCAGCAATTGCTATCACCCCTCTCGTCTGAATGGAAATTCCCACCCGATGCGGTGACCAGATATTCACATTATTTTGTCTCTTTCCGGACATATACACTCGATTCGCCGCAAGGAACCAAACATAATAACCAAACGCACAAAATTGCAGACATTCGACATAGTACTCAGTACTTTTGTGAAACGTCGTGGAAGAATATTCGAAAACGGATATTTTCTTGAAAGAAAGTGCGAGATCACTTTGGTATTAACAAGTTGTCGCTGTTAGGAATTCATGTGACGCTTTCAGATAATGTTAGGCGATTATTGATACGGATGCTTCTTCATATCAAGTAAGCTCATCTTTATTGTTCTCAGAGATGTACTTGGTGCAAGCATGTTTTGTATTAATTTTATTACTGCCAAGTTGCGACTGCCTGGCCCGGAGATGTGTATCTTACTCCAAGCCAGGGGATGTCGTCATTGGCGGATTGTTTCCTATCCATTACGTGGCCGGGCCGGGGCAGTGTACGGACCGTCAATCGCGATGGGGGACCATGCTCTCCGAAGCCATGATCTACGCCGTAGAACAGATCAACCGGCGGGAGGATGTCCTGCCGAATGTCACGCTGGGCTACGACATCAGGGATGATTGTCGTTCCGACGACGTAGCCCTGTGGCACGCCTTAGCGCTCGTCAACGCCTTGAATCCCAACGAGACGTCGGGGTTGTGTCAGGCACAGCACGGGGCCAAAGTCTTGGGCATCGTCGGTACGTCAGAAACCGATACAAGCATCGTAGTCACCAAGGCGGCCGCCATGTATAAAGTGCCACTGGTCTCCTATGCCGCCGCCGGTGACGAGTTGGGAGACAACTTCCGATTTCCATATTTCCTTCGAACTGTGCCCGAAAACCCCTTGCAGGTGGGTTCAATGTAGCATTCACTCAGGCTCTCACTAAACATAAGAAAATCAGATTAAAATGTATAGGATTGGCAAAGTATCACGGGGGTTGGCCGGTAGGCCTGGGTAGAAGCTTGAACATAATAATAAATAGCCTGCGGTGTCCGACGCAGGTGACAGGAACAAATTATGAATAGAGGAAAGTCATCGACTACTATTTTGAGATGCTATAATCTCTTATACAATGGTTCCATTGTCTATTTAATACGATTTAAACTTAAGGAACATTTTGCTTCTCCCTGTGTTATATCTTTTACGTAAAGCCATTTCTGTATGTTCTCTTTGTAAATGCCCGATGTTCAATAACGAATAGACAAATTCCTAAATAACATCATTTGGCAGCGACGACCACAGTTCTCTCTAATTAAATTGGATGTTAGTGGTCCCGGAATTCCTACCGTGGCGTTGCACCGAAAGCATAGTTTTTGTTCATCTTAGTAGCCTTTCTCTTGTGCCCTCCGCTTTTGTTTGAAACTGAGTACATGTACCACCTCCAGAAATCGAGGCCCTCCTGGTGCCCTCCTGGACATTAGACCGTAGTTTCGCAACTGTAAACGTAAATTGGTCTTTTAAAATGAATATGCCCTTTAAAACATTCCGATCCAGAGACTTAATATCTTGAATCTAACTTTCACTGATGAAATTTGGCAAATGTTATGTCACAATAAATAAACTGTACTGTCTCAGAATGAAAAGTGGTGGGCAGCCGTGTTAGTCAGGCAGAATGAAATGGCAAAGTAAGGTGGCACGTTAAATGACTAACTTGAATGATAATTGTACACAGAAATTACAAATCAACCCACTTTTGTGTGTTACAGGTTGAGGCAATGCTAGATATCATTTACACCCTTGGTTGGGTCTACGTGTCGCTACTCCATTCCGTCGAGTCGGATTATCTTCTTAGTGCGCTCCGATTTCAAGAGATAGCAGCAGACTATGAAATCTGCGTGGCCTACTCAGCAGCCATCAGGACGACGGCAGACGACGAGGAAGTGAACCAAATCGTGGCCAACTTGGACCGGTACCCCAAGGCCAAAGTAGTGGTAGTCATTGGAGACAAATTCACCGGCCAGAAAGTCATGCGAGCCGGTCAGAAGGCCGGGATGGTTGGCCGGTACCAATGGATCGGTGGGTCTCGATGGGGTTACCTGATGAAAGAGGAGGGACTAGCTGATATCGCCGACGGAGCCATCTTCGTCAGAAGCTACAGTGTGCCCGTGGCGGGCTTTGAGGCATTTGCCAAGGCCAAAGAACCAGTCGAGCCCTACGTCTCCCCTTGGTATAAAGACTTGGCCCTGAATTGGATGCAGGACAACAACTGCATCAACATAACAGACTGCCCTCTGCGCGTTGGTGACTCGGGAGCGCCGGTTGTCGACAGCGTGCACGCCATCGCGTTTGCCTTCCATAACGTGATGATGGAAAGCTGCGCCAATGTCAGCGATTGTCAAGTCGGTGATATCGTTACGGAGGAGGAGTTTCTGCAGAAACTCCTGGCTGTCAATTTCACCGCAGTAGACGGAGAAGCCGTCCATTTCGACAGCTCGGGCAACTCCGGAGGCAAGTTCACCATCACGAACCTGAGGGAAGACAGCGGAGAGCACGAGGTCGGACTGTGGCATTCGGCTCCCGAGACGGTCGGCGAACGCCTGGAGATCAAGCAGGATAAGATTCGATTCCTCAACAAGAGCTGGAGTCGGCCCGCCTCGATCTGCGTCGAGGAGTGTAGAGCTGGGTATGTGGTTGTGCCGTTGGAAGACAAATGTTGCTGGGGATGTAAGGCGTGTTCACCGAATGAAATCGTGGTAAGTTAACACTACTTTACCAACACGAGGTGCCAAACATTATATAACAGAACCCATACATTGAGATGACGTAGCCAGCTTTGTTTCATATTATAATTTAAATTAGTGGATGCGGCGAAAGCCATATCGGTTCGATATTGGTGTACATCGCAATACCATCATCATCCAACATGGGTTTCAGTGTCGCAAATAAACTAAAAGGTCTTTAGATCAACACACGTCTCGACAATTATAGATTTTGGTTTCCAGACAGGTGAACATGAGGCGTGAAGTGGCTCCGTACCGTTTCAGACGTCAAATCTATCTGGAATAAATTGGTTCCGACTCTAGAACGCTAGTCTGAAACAGAGGTTCGCATGTAGTTAAGAGTGACTTAAGGCCAGACGGTCTGGTTGTATAGGACTACATTAATATTGGTTTTTAATGATAGTCATTTGTCACTTTTTTTTAATTTTTTTTAAAGGACTGACGTTTTATGTGTGGCATATTGTGCTAAAATGGGGTCTATTTTCTGAAACTTTGCTCTACTACAAAACTAAAAGAAATCGGGTTAAGCCTATGACTACTCTGGTCAAATTGTGGTTGTGTTGACCACCAAAATGGTTAACGTTGCAGTGAGCTGTGCTGTCTTCAATGTTACATTTAAGGGATTCTTGTTTTTTTCTACAATCACCCAAGACAGGAGACAGGAAGGATGCTCATTTCAGTGCATAATATTGTACGATTGCTCATTTTTGTGTCTCTGTCAATTCGTAGTTATAGCTGACTGGTTGCCCATGCCCGACTTGGTAGCTCATGCTTTCGATTCTCTGTCGAACAGGTCAATCGCACACAGTGCTACCGGTGTCCAACCAAGGAGAGGCCGGACGCCAACCGGACCTATTGCCTGCCCATCATTCCCTCCACCATCAGCTGGACGGAGACGCCGGTCCTGATCATCCTGGTGCTGTCCGGGTTTGGAGTCGTCCTGTGCTCGCTGACCATCACTGGCCTGTTCGTGTACGGAAAGCACCCTCTGATCAAGGCCAGTAGTCGGGAGCTGTCTAGCATTAACGTGGCTGGTCTCACCCTGACGTTCCTGACCTGCGTGGTGCTGCTGGTAAAGCCCACCCGTGCTTCTTGCATTACTGTGGAACTTGTGCTTGCTCTGTGCAGCACGCTGATCTACGCGCCCACCTTGCTGAAGGTAAAACTGTGTTTCGAATTAGAATCAGTTTCGAAAGACACTTTATACCAAGTTTTAACCACACCCTTATAGTGCACGAAATGTTCAGAGGTGTGATTTCTGATACATGTTGAAACAAAGCGCAGAATTCCGTAATTAGATTTTTTTTTAATCAACATGGAACCATGACGGTTCTTTTCTACGCGTTTTCGACCCAGATGACCTTTTTTCCCTTCAAATTTGACCAAACCAAAACTAAACCTAACCAAAATCGATCCTGGCCAAACTCCCCGTTAATGTGAACTAAATCCGGTAGCAAGGACAGTATCACTACCATGTCCCCCTTTACATCTGCTTGGTTTTGGCCAACTGGACGAGAGATCAAAAAGTCTCCTTGCTTTGAATGAATAGCTGTTAATTAATCACTAAATGCCCGCTTGCAGGTGATTCGGATCTTTCGCATCTTTCGAAAAGCCCGCAAGTCGACCCAGAGGCCCAAGTTCATAAGCCCTAAGCATCAGGTCATCGCTTGTCTGACTCTCCTCGCAATCCAGGTACGTTCCTTGCTTTCAGAATCCTCTCCGTTTTGACCTTATCATGACCGTAAACTGAGTTTGTGCATGACCACTGACACACCCTTGTAAACTTACCACCATGTTGCTGTACAGGGCAAATGCACAGGGTAATAATGGATTCGTGAAAATATATTGAACATTGCCAGATTGGTTTTGTCTTCAAGGATGGTTTATATGCTTCCATTATTACATTACTCTGCAGTCACGGAGGACTATTCACTGTTCACTGAAAAATTGCCCGGGTTAATATTTTACCCAAGCAAGGTTGAAAACTGCAACTACCCAAAATTGGGTTGTCCTTTAACCCAATATTGTTAAGGTTAGAAATTTTGTTAAATTCAACCAAAACTTGCAGTCATACCAGACTAAATCTAATTTGGTCTCGTATGACACACAGATTTTGGTTGAATTTAACACAAATTCTAACCCAAACAATTGGGTAAAGCACAACCCAATTGTGGGTAGTTGCAGTTTTCACCCTTGATAGGGGAAAATTAACCCAGGCAATTTGTCAGTGTTGGTTTACAAACAGAATAATAAGAAACCCTTTTTGTGCTAAGTTGGGCTGATTTGGTGGTGCATGAGCTGGCGAAACGGTGCGCATTTCAGCTGTGTGAATTGTGTGGTTATATCCGATTTCAACACAGCTCATCTCACTGACTGCTCAGAATTAGACGACTTGGCAAAAGATGGTTTTTTACTTTGTGTTTCCAAATCAATGATATTTTTTAATCAACCTTGCCTTCAGGGGTGCAGGTGAGGTATCAATGGAAAGCTGTTAAACCACGCTTTCACGTCAAACCACATTGGTAGTGTTCCAGTTCATAAATTTAACATACTAATCCATTAGCTATGGATTGCCTTTTTTGATATACCCAGTTCAGCAGACTGCAGCATTCACAGGTAGCAAATACGCTACTCATGCAAAATGTTTGTCCAGTAAACCAAAACCGAAAATGCTCTTTTGCGGGGTCACATGAAAACTACGCCGGGCACGGGTTTGTTAACTTGACCCACTCTCGACGCTTAAAATACGTTTACCTTCCCCCTCCTGTGTATCTCAAGAATACTGCTGACAATCTCACGGCCTGGAATCTGCGATGAATTCTCTGATTTGTAGTTGTGGGACATAATTGCATACTGAGATCTATTTTTGCAGATTTTTCAAAATTCAGTACGGACGAATTTTAAGTTTAGTATCCAGGCTGAGCCATCCAGTGCTAAGCCACTGTAGGACCAACCTCGTCCCCAGTGCTCACTTTATTTCCAACCTAGTTTCCAATAGTAAGCCCTGGATAGGAAACCTTCTTCCTGAATCCTGATTCGTTACCGTAATTGGCTAGTAATGGATTTTTATCGTGTACTTGGTGCTATTATTCACAACGTGCAGTACGTGTTTTCGCGATCATTCGTCCACGCCTTCTCGAAAATCCTAATTTCCTTTCCAAATTGCTCATCTCAATATGAAATGTGATACTGCATGTTGTCTCGATATAAGATCGTAACTGTTTAATTCAAAAAAATCGTGTTTTCGTAACTTACGCCGTGCTCGCGCTGCGACGAATTGACTCTGTTTTTTTTTTACCCCAGACACCGCTAATGTAACGCATATCCAGGCACCAGACTGTTCCTCATTTGCATACGTGTTCAAAAATCTTGCACATGCAAATGATCCAATACCAGGGTGAGAGAGCAGGTAGTGATGGGCGCGTACTGTTCGACACCCTGGGGACGAGGTTGCTGTAGGACATCTTCATATTACAAGTCACAAAAATGGCTGGAAAAGCCTTTCGCACCTTACCGCCGATAGGACGCTACTCGTAACTTAGCTTATGTTTTTGTTTCGCTGGAAACTTGGAACTAGTAATAGGCCTATACCGTGTCGTCGTGACTATACGGTTTATGCCTCTGCAATGAAAATAGTATTATTATATTAACGTGATATGAAAATAACGACCAAAAACAGTAACTTGAACTGAAGTGAATTGTAGTGAACATGAACATGAGTAAACACGATTTCACATAAGCAGATAATTTAAGTTATAAACACCCAACATTGAGGCAACATCAGTATGATTGGTTATAACTTGGGAAATGGAGTATAAGACCGGAAACAAAACGAGAGAAAAAATCACCTCAGACATAATTATTTGCCGAGCTACAAAAGATTAATAATGCTCTTGTTCAGAAGACAATCCCTCACACGACACTCGTTACCTTGATGATTGTATCGAAGGGAATGATGACTTAAGAGCAAACATCAGTCAAAACAGATCGCGTTATAGTTATGCATTAACTGGAAAAGACACGACAGTTCCCACCTTGTCTCCTCCAAAACTGTGTCAGGTGTGACATAGAGTGTAAATCTGAGGGGGGAAAAAAGATTGGCTGCAGACCGTAGCGAATATACTGAGCGACCATGGGAGACGGACAGTTTTCGTAGCAACGCTGACTGCAACTATAGACACTGTCAAGGGGGAGAGCCAGTGATGGAACGACTTTACGCCATGCAGGAATAGCGTTATTATGGAAGAGGAGCACTGTGTGGAGAGGCAATTGCACATCTCTTCTGTAGGGGACACTCAAAAACGTTGGACAAATGGGGGGTTTTTTGGGCCAAATGTTGGTGAACATACCAACAGTGTACACATTTGGGCAAATTTTCCCAAAAAAGTGATGTCATTACCCGAATCAACTTTTAATTAAATCAATTTCACGCAAATTTTGGGAACATAACATTGTCTGCTATAGTGTTTAAAGCTATAGTCCATCATTTGCAGCCATCCGAAAAGTAACTGGCGTAATTGTTGTTGAAAAACAAACTTGGTTGAAAGATAGTAAGGGAACTAAACTCCCTGTGAAATTATTCTTTCTGGGAAGCTGTCATTTTGAAGTAATCAACGAAAGACGGCCTTTCAAACGGTGCGTCTTAAGACGCACCGTAGGAAAATTTTAATTAGTAGTTCGTTTTGTTATTCGGCGAAGCGCGCGCACAAGCATTGGCACGACGCACACGCGCGCGGCTGCTATAATTCGTCTGATCAGTGCGCGACGTCGTGTATAGCTGCAATTCAAAACAATTCAAAACATGATTCAGTAAGTTTTGATTTGAAATTGAGATCCTAGAATGCTGTTTTTCTCGGAATATACAGCTGAAGCTGAGCTGAAACTTCATCAGGTTAGTTGTTCAGCACCCTTGTTTAGATCTTGAGCCCTTTTGTTGCTTGAAACGAACAAAATGCACAAATTAAAAATGATGGACTATATCTTTAATTACCCACTTATTTTAAAGTTGAGAGATATCTTGCTACACTGAAAGATTGGACGCCATTCGCGTAAGATTGTATGATCCCGAAGTATAAATGCCTTGAAATGTCCAAGTGGGGGCAGGTTTCACTCCAAATTTCATTTACTTTGATAGATCAATCCAGGTTATGCTGAGGAAACTTAACCTGTGACGTGTTACTGAAGTCAGGGGAGTATTCTTATTAGCTAATGGCCTCTTCAATCAAAATGTCCGTACGGTAGATCATGCCATTGTGGCAGCTCCTCGCACGGGATTTCGTATAGGAAGGATGCACACGTCAACAATATCTCGTTCGCGCAGTTGATGGAGCCAATACGTAAAAATCCTTTCAAATTACCAAAGACATGCCAGTGCAACGTTTCTTTTAGCCCAACCTTGCCCTTTCAGGATTTGTAAACCCTTCAGGCATTGAAGACTCTTGATCAACAAAGTTTTTTTCTGCCTGTTCAAGTCACGACACAATTAATCACGATGGTGAATAGTGAGTCCACAGGGACGAATTGATGCAATGAAACTATAATAATCCCCAGACGTCGCTGTTTTCAAGAGTCGAATTAATCAAATCAATGGGAATTATTTTCCCCATTTCATGTAATTCTTGTGTGCATCGGCCCTCCTCGGCTTTGGATGAATAATCAACCTCATCATTGTCATGAGAAAAGATTCCCAGGACGGCCAAAAAAAAAGTGCAATAAAATATGATCATGCAGAACAATGATAGTACTTCGCAACCGCATTCCCAAGGTGTACTTTTTCATCCTCGAGACACTGGGGAGGGAAACTTGCTTCCTGTAATCTGATTCGATCCCGCAGTACCAAGTAATCAATGGGCCTTATTCACGAGTCGGCCACATTGGATTGAGAGTGAGGTAAAATCTTGATATTTTGAACTTGTGTAGAGAAATGAAAGCAAGTTAATTACTAATTAATTCCAGTCTGCTTTACTGAATAATTTCCAATTTGTAATTAAACGTTCCCTAATGTTTAGAGCCAGATTTAAAAAAAAAATGACAATAAAATAAGGCAGCATTGTGCCTGCATAAATAGTCTGGCGCCATCCCATTCAACAAATAACAATTAATGAAATACTTTCAGGGGACTTGACAAAAATGGCAAACTTGTGAATAAGGCCCATTTATAAGGTATACATGGTTATTCTCTAACGTTCAATGGTTGGGTAAGATTACAACATGACAACTTTGGAAACAGATCGTGTATTTTCCGATCTAACGCTAAGACTGACAGATTGATTCGGTCTGAACCCTGGACACCGCATGCAAAAGACAAACACTGATTGTCAGCAAATGATAACGTATCAAATGATAACGTGCGAGATTTTAAACGTGCAAATGATCCAGTACCAGTGTGAGAGAGCACCTAGTGGGACCGAACTGCTCGATGTCATGGGGACGAGGTTGAGTACTTCAGGAATCGATGAACCTGGCTGGGGAAAAACACGCACGGCTTAACATATTCTAATGTTTACATTCTTAACATAATACATGTACGTTAGAATATGGAAATACCATTTTGTTTAAGCCGTGCGTGGATATTCTTCTTATGTTGGGCCCGGCCAGGTCCAACACGGAGATTTTCGGTAGTGTAGAAGGCCCCCTAGTAAACCGTGGTTTGGGGCCCTTGTTTTGATATCGATAGTGCTTGGTCATCCGTGACGGTAGAAATGCAATTAAGGTATCAATGGAAAGCTGGTGAACCAACCTTGTGATGAACCGAGTTGACAGTGTTTAAGTTCATAACTTACACACAAACACATTATTTTCGGAATACCATTTTATACATGGGCGTCGCCAGGATTTTTTCTCGAGGGGGGTCAAAGCACAATATTTCCCCCCGAAAAACATGTACTTTTCCAGCATATTCTCGATTTATAATTTTCGAGGGTGGGCAGGGTCATTTGCCTCCCAACCCATTACATTAAGAGGAATATGACTTCGTGCCTCTTTCCCTTCTTTCTTTCCCCTTTTTTTCTCTTCCCCTCCCCCTCCGCTTTTCCAGAGGGGGAGGGGGGGGGGCAACCGCCCCCTTGACCCCCCCCCTTCGCGACGACCATGATTATATACTCCTGTAAAATGAAAGTTTGTCAACAGTTCTCGAGTTTAAAAAAAGAAGGAATTTCTGAGGAAAAAATAGTAACTTGAGAGGTGTGCCTAATTTTCATGGGAAAATATTGTCATTCTTTGAATTGCTACACGCAGGTGATGTTGTCCATTCTGTCGGCTATCCTGGCGCCATCCACACCCGTCGAGTTGATCAGTCAAGTTGGGGGACTGTACCTGGAACTCTTCTGCTCCTTCGGGCCTGGCTTTATCGCCTCCTGTGCCTACAACCTCCTCCTGATCCTAGCTTGTTGCTTCTTCGCCTTTAAGGCCCGCAAGGTCCCCAGCAACTACAACGAATCCAAGTTCATCGCGGTCAGCGTCTATTCCACCCTGGTGTTGTGCCTGGCCGCGGTGCCCGTCTACGCTACGGCCGTGGCCGCGCTGCACAAGGTGGCCACCGTCTGCTACGCGGTCATTCTCAACGCCTACCTGACCCTGGTCTGCCTCTACCTGCCCAAGTTCTACGCCGTAAAGTTCGTGGGGAGCGACGACACGACTACCAGCGACTGGAGAGGCACCGGTGCTTTTGGCAGGACGGTTATGTCATCCAACAAAATCACACCGTCCACATCGGGAACCAATGACCCCACGGCGTGAAACAAAGGAGGGAGCGAAATAGCACGGTGAAAATGAAACAAAACATTTTGTTATACCTCGGTAATAGATCGTGATGTTTTATTGGTCGAGAACCGAGCATGTGATGTGCCACAAACACGTATGTATCATGTCAGGGTACACCCCGTGGTACATAAGTGATGCACCCCACGGGGTACATTACCTTGATCGTCCCCACTGTTGAATGTCCCCACTGGTGAACTATTGAAGTGTTGTATCGCCTTGTAATAATAGAAATAGACCGGGTTAGAGGCTTCAGACAGCGTGCACACGCGCGTACACATGTCGGATGGACGCGCGCGCATAGAACATGGTCGCAGCTGTGATTGGCTCGTAACGGGGCAGGGGGTAATGGATTAGTCTATTCAGTAAAAAGGTAAATAAATTTGTGTTTCTGTGCAGTGCAAAAATGTGCGAATATTCACGGTGCAGTAATCACGGATCTTTTCAAAATAGTACTTCCGCTATTACTACACGGCAACTGGAGGAAATCCACAATTTCAGACGCTTGGAATCTATTACCATGGTATAACAAAACATTTTTTTCGCCTCAGTGTCATTTGCACCCTCGGGTGTACAAAACACGATGGACCCCATCACAACAGGCAACAATTGTATAATGATTTGTGATTTAAAATAGTTGATTTCATGAAAAGTTGTAGTCTATTTACTACTCACTACATATTATCACATCCATCTCATATTATAACTCAACTAATAGTCTTTCATTTGTGATATATAATGTATATATAATATCTGTCTATACGTTGTCTGCATAGCATATGCGATTATGCATTTTAAAAATGTCTGCCTTACAATTTGTCACGGTTCACATTGCAGATAGAAGCTCACTATTACAGTTTTTGATTTAAATGAACAACTTTTAACCCAATCTTGAATTATGTAATTTTTTGGGGGCCTTAAAACAATTCAATGAAAAGAAAATCAACGGTCTAACAATTCAAATAAACAGCTTCCTCCACCTCGACATCCTTTGTGACTTCACACAGACACTAGATTTACTATATATAGGGCCTATGCCTATGTATTTCATAAACAGAATATACGAAAATTACAAGAGCTCGACGGGACAGGAACAGCGATTTCTTGTCAATATTGGGGGACGGGGGACCAGTCAATAATACAAGCGAGGAGGGGGACTAGAGGGTGGGGAGCTTGACTCCATCTGTCTCAAGGGGTGCTGTTCAAACATTTGTTTGAAATCTGTACGCACAGGTATAAGTTACTGGGAGACATCACCATTGGCGTCCCTGAACAAATATTAATCGGAGGGCCAGGGGGGACATGTCCCCTCCCCGTCCTTCCCCAGCATCGCCGCCCATGGCTCGAGAAGTAAATTTACCACTACGAGTAAACATGACAATGATGACAACCTGAAGCAAAGAGATACAGCACACATTTTGTATAATTACCTTATCCAGGGACAAGACAGCACAGACAAGAAACCTCGGAACCGCCCTATCCAAGGGAGCTGGGGATCTCTATAGGTTCAATGATTCATGTAGGATTGGCGAGTGACGTTCCCACAATGCTTTGTGTTTCCTTCTCAAGGTTTTGCCAAAGGGAGGTCGCTGTCGCCAACCCCCTTGGTTATAGGGGGATGGGGATGAGCGAAGACACGGGACTGATGTACGGTACGGACGAGGACGGATAAGACAATATAGGCTCTAATGGATTTAAAATGGCTTTCAACGCGGTAATGGACATAATGTTGTTTCCGAGAGCAAGAGAGAGAGAAAAAAGCACTTAGTGATATTTGCTGTTTGTACTTTCCTCCCTTTCTACACAACAGTAAACCAGAGATATGTAGTTTTACGTTATGTTTTGTCTGGAGAACCGTTTTGTACATTTGAATTCACATCAACAGCATCCAGAATCAACAACAAATCGGATGGAAACTCAGTGCCCCCCAAATCCATTAAATTCACCTTTTAAGTTATTGGTCTTTTTGAGCTCCAGCAGGAGCTTATACATGGTGGTCGGTCGGTCGGTCTGTCTGTCCCCGAAGATTGACCAAACAATGGACCAAAATAAGCCCCCTAAGTTGACCAAAAATAATTGACTAATTGATGAAATGCCATGCCGTCGTCATAATACACTTTTGCTCACGGTTTCCGGAACACCGATTTTGTTTCAATTAATGCGCATGCGCGTTTATTTTGCATATGTCTGCCCCCGAAAATTGACCAAAATAATCCCCCTAAGTTTCCCATAAAATATAACTTCCAAATTTTAATTTTCAAAAAAAGCACACAAAATAATTTTAAATACTTAACAAAAACTTTTTGTAACAATTCGGACAGATGTTTATGAAAAAATTGTAAATAAAGGCAAAATATGTGCAGTGATGTTAACTGATAGTCAGTTGTTATTTATCACAAATCGCTATCCGGTTCGTTGGTGACTTCGTTATACACGCGCCCGTACCAAGCGCCCATTTGCTAAAAACTCAAGTTGCGTTAACTTCCGGTTCAATTCGTGCTACGCTACATCGTGTGAAGTACGCATGGTTAAGTTGACACGACGTCACACTAACGAACCGCATAAATCTAGGTATAAATATAAAGTACGGTGTTTAATATTTGCCATGCATCGGCTTCGCATTTTTTTGGCGTCGCATTTTTAAGCTCTGGCAGGGATAATTTTAATAGATTTCATGCAAGACTTTCATGCAAGACGGCCAGAGCTTATTGTGCACTCGCACTTGTTTAATTACTAGGACTTTGCGTTAAGTATAGCAACACATTTTGAGGTGGTTTTTCCAAACATTATTTTGGAAAAGCTTGTGGTTCTGACAAGTTTTTTCTTTATTGTTGTGACAATTTTGTATTGCCTTAAGCATCTTGTTTGTGTTTGTGCGAGACGTTCCCCCGGAGTTAGTACTGAGTTCAAGCAAACCCCCGTCCCATAATGTAAGTGTTGAGTAGCAGCACACACAGTATACATCTGTTTTATTTGTAGTTTGCTTGCCTCTAAATTGCTCCTTGAAATTTCAACCGTGCTAATAAAGTGACATAGGCATTACCCTTGCTCGTGTGAGATGCGGTTATCAACCCCAAGAGGATTTACTCCAAACTGATGATCATGGCACTTTACAATAGAATCAAGCATAAAAAACCCACACATCATAGGAGGATTGTTTAAATCAATTACTTTCAATAATACACTCAAGATGTAGGTACATTGTAAACAAAAAACTCAAAGATGCCCGTTAAATTGGTTGTTCGATGCCCGTAAATTGGTTGTAACGGTTATGATGTGTAATGCAACCTGTGGTGTGTCAATAATTGAAGTGGAGCTGTGAATTAAAGATATCTCGATCTCCGTGTATTCTATCGAGTGACGTTATGTTTTCATATACTTGAAGGCCCTCTCCATTACCAACATAGGCTGGGGATAGATTCCAAACAAATGAGAATCAGCCAGTCTATTTATGGACTTCATAACTCATTATGAGTTTGTAGCAATCAATGAAGGTGCTTTGTGATTTGAAGGTGATATTGACGAGACACGATCATTATTTTTTTTATTTTATTTTAGTACACAGTATGGCATCATTACTTTCTGCCGCAATCTTATGTCTACCTGGCAAATCTCATATATATTAGGCTCGGGTAGCTGACTTCCCTCTTGCACCTTATGACGGCAGAGATATGTTTTTTTTGCGCCGAAATGGCTGCATCGAGCTGGATAGTGTCCTGGGAGCTCAGATGTCTTTGGAATGTTTCACTGGCCCAGTGAGCAGGGGTGATGTTGATAATATTGCACCCTGAGCAGCAACAAGTAGTGAATACGCGCGCTTTATAAAACACAACTTTAATATGTTTTTCTCTCCTTTTTATTGAATGGTTTTGCCTCTGCGCTTGGTCAACGATCGAGGGAGGTGAGCCCGGTCCATTGGGCGCCACGTCATTTGGCCAAAAAATAAAAAATGCTCGGTCTCTGGTCAGCGCGCGCGTCGATTTTAATCATGCGCGTCAACCTTTTTTTCCCTTCAAATTAACACGGAAGCTACAACAGCGCCCTCTATTGCCGCACCTCCTCAAATTGTTGTACCAAGGAGCACCAAGGAATGGCATTGGGGAAATTGCACCAAGGCAAATGATAAAGGGCACCAAGGCAAATTATGGAGGACACCAATGTATAGTGAGGACACAAAAAAGCAAAATAGTACCCACCTGGTCTGTACAATTCAAGCTTTAAAAAAAAAGCCACCCCCCCCCCCCCAAAAAAAAGCGTCGCCGCATCAATTCCGGAACTTCGGTCTGACCAGAGACCGACTATTTTTTTTTTTTGGCCTTATATTTGATTCATCGTTTTTATTTCAAAGCTGGAACACAAGCCTCATACCAAAGGAAGGGAATACGTCGAAGTCATTGTAACTTTTTTGTTTGTATTGATCTTTGAAAACAAGGTTAACAATGAGTACACCAAACAATGTAATTTTCCTTTAACTGTTAATATCTGTATCTGTATCTGTTAGCTTCTGTACAAACGCCTGGTGTGGCTATCGCGTACAGCCTCATGGTGTATGTATGAGGATAACTGCCCGAAACACCGGGGCGAACCCGTTCTCTTAGCGATAAGTGTTTGCTGGGTACGTGCATTTATACAACACACGGGACCTACAGCTTTACGTCCCATCCGAAGGACGAAGCAATAATGGTTAAGTGCCTTGCTCAAGGGCACCCGGGCCCGGGCTTGAACCCACGCCACTGTTGCCTCTGAAATACCAGAGCATGAGTCAAGTGTTCTTAACCGCTAGGCCATCTCACCCCATAATAAGAAGACACATTAAGTGATTTTGGTTAAACTGTAATCCGATACTTTTATAGAAGAATTAGTTAATGGAAACATTTTCCCCACACAGGACATGTTTTGTCCTGAGGCTCAGATTCATGTACCATGGCCAGAAGCTCGAGTATTCAGGCTGCATTAACCACTCATGTGTCTTAAATTGGTACAACGCCATCTTAATGTTGGGATCAGAAACTGACTCCTCTGTACAACACCGACGTTTTATGTTTGTTGACTATTATAGTACAAACTAATACATACAAGACCAAAGTTGATTACAATGTTTTGTTTAGGCCTATTTAAAAGAGATCTACTCAGTTCTGGTTCTATATCTTACAAAGACAATTATTCAAAAATATTGAAATTTGGCTTTAAACTGCATTTTGTAAGACACCCACATAACAGACGATACCATCACCGTTTGTTCATTTGTATGTTAAAGGGAAGATACAACATTTGCAAACACTAAAAAAACGAAATGAGCAAATTGTCACAAAATACCTTACTTGATTGTAAGGGAATGACAGTCTAAAGCATCTTGTAAAATGGTGGCTCTTGGTGTGCTCACATTTTCAAGAAAATTTGTATTTTTCCAACACTGCTCGGCCGACCAGCGTTGGAGAAAACTGGCTTTTTTCAAAAATCTGCTTCTACATTTTCATATTTAGATATTTCGCATTTTCTTTGAAATGGATGACACACTTTTGAAAAGGATACAAGCCAGCTAGACTGATTCTCTGATCTTACAATTCCCCCAAGTCTATAAATTGCTCTGTTTCATCTTAAGTGGGGTCAGGGAACCAGACTACAAGAACATGATTGGTTTTCTTGGTTTTTCCAGCATCTACAAGCCCAAAACGTGAAACAAGTCAGTTTAACAATATTTTCTATAACATACTAATCCTCCAAATCCATTTATGTCGGAAAATTGCAGCAAAAGCAAATGTTGTACATTCCCTTTAATGGGCCCTTTCCGTTAATCAAATAAAGAACATCCTTGATTAAAAAGAGGAAAAAAGTATGTAGTATTATTACACCAAATGGTTCCTTTGGGAGACACTTTCTTATAGATTATTATACGTTAGGGGGACAGTCTCCCTCTTGTTTTAACTACATTATACGAATTTTACCGTCGCAAATTAAAAGCAGTATTACTACAAGAGATAGTACCGTAGGGAGACACTTTCTAGGAACTTATCTCACATTAGGGAGACATTATAGTGTCTCCCTAATTCTTCAACTACCTTTATGATTTTTTTTAAATTGTCGCAAGTTGCTTAATACCATCCCTTAGGTCAAGAATAGTACAGTTAAAAGGTTTGATGAGATGGGATTTACAAAAGAATTTGGTTGAATTAGACGATTTTTGTTTGTGCACAATTCTATTGGAATGTCTCCCTATTAACGCACCATTTTCAGCAATCATAAAAATTATGAATATCATACAAGCAAAACAAACTAGGAGGGACGACAAGTAAAAGTGGCAAATATTGCGTTACATTCCCTTGCGGATAAAATCAGCTTTATGTTGGCCCTACATGTAAAAGGACTGAAGAAAATCAATTTGGTTCCATCATGTTTTCTCTGTCAAGTTACTGTTTTTGTAATTGGTTTCTGCTCTGTTAATATCAACATTAGAAGGAGTGCACCCCAAACGACCTTCAATATCTCATCTCTATATACTCTGCGGACACCGGATTATTTTAATAGAACATCCCTTGTATATTAATTGTGTAATGTGTACTGCCTGTAAAAAAAACCCGCACGGTTCAATTTTAATAACACACCTGCTGTTCAAATGCCAAGAGCTGCCGTTCTTGCTATGTGAATGAAAATTTGGGGTGCGTACCTATGTTACCCAATACCTATGTTTTACCTATAATCTTATCAAAAGAGCCATACTGGCATTGTCTGATCTTTTGAAGCACTCGCTTTCTAAAAGTGGCACAGAATTTTTTTTTGGCTTTGCGGTTATTCAAACATATCTCTGGATTTACAAAAGCAATCTCAACTAAACGAACGGTATTCTCAAGCTAAATCTGTAACCTTGAAGATCGTGTAAATATTTGCATTAAATTCCGGTTGTAAATTGGCGAAAATGGCGGGGTTTACATGCACCATTATTTTCAGGACACCCTGTACTATAACATCTCTTGGTGAGGTATTATACATGTGTTACACTCCCTTTACTTGTCTGTTCTTCCTCATGTAAGTGGTTTTGCAATTGGTTTCTGATCTATTAACCCAACCAAACATAAGCAAGGAGTGCACTCCAAAACGACCTTCAATACACCATCTCTACCCTTTTCAGACGGAAACATGGAACATGCATCTATTGCTCCATTGCTATATGGCACACTTTCAATTT